AATTGGTATGGACATGCAAGATCAACGAAGTTTGAGACAATTACTTAGCATTTTGCAAATTTAGTATTATATTATGATTTTTCTATTTTAACAAGTAACTCTGTAATGTTGTGCTAAATATAATTCGGTTGTCCTCATCTGTGCTCTCCTTCACTACAAAGGTATTACATTTTATTCTATATGAATAGGAAGATTTTTTTAAAATGTGTTATTTGGACAATCTTAATTGATTTGATTTATGATCCTACCCCCCCTCACGAGATTCGAACCCAGGACCTATCAATCTCACGCGCGCGAGCGTTTAACCATTAGACCACTGAATTGGTCGGCATCTAACGGTGTTAATGTTTAAATTCAACCAATCTATGAAATTACGCCACCATCGAATCTCGCGGAGGGGGGAGGAATTGTAAATGAGCACTTTTGAGGAGTCTCACAATAGGACGAAATAGCCGTTCAGTGTTTCCTAGTTTTCCATGGTGGTCTAGCTTTAATTGACTAATGATTTAAGCTATTGAAATGACTAAAATCTCTACAAAATCCCTTCTGATTTGATTTAATTAGATATTTTTAAATTGTTCAATTCATTAATCGATTAAAGCTAGACGATTATGGAAAACTTGGAAGTAGTGAATGGTTATTTCATCCTAGTAGGAGACTCCTTAACACTGAGCATCCATGATTCTGTACATTAGACTCGAACCTAGAAATTTGAGTTATCGCATGAGAACGCTTAACCTTTAGAATATGCATGTGTATCGAAATATTTCTATTACGTTCTGCTTCGATATTAGATCAATTTATAATGGAAAAACAAGATACAATAGATTCACATACCCTAGATGATACTTAGTTTCAAAATTTTCTAATCAAGTGAACAGTATATTTTAATTTGAAAATATCTTCAGTTCAACAGATTATAGTTTAAGACTGATAGGTTCTGAGATTGAATTCTGTGAACATGATCTTGAATGCTCATCGCTAAGAAGTCATATATTAAGATGAAACGGCTATCTAATGATTCCAGGTTTTCCATAATGGTCTAAATTTGATCAACTCATAAATTCAACTATTAAATATTATTATAATCTGTGTTTCAGTGGATACGTTTATGAAACTGTATGAAATACAGTTAGAAGGATAGCTATTATAAATTTTTCTAGAAAAATCAATATATTACTTAAAAGCATGTTGATTATGAACTTTTCTCTGTTGATACATTTATTTATTTGAATATTAGTACAAATGGGGCATCAAATATATATGCGCCACACAAGTCATTTGATTTGTGTGTGAGCTGTCATATTGCCCGAATGTTCAGACTGAAGCAGGTGATTGTCTTAGGGGGCCACACATTGAGCCTTTGAATTAAAGGTCTAATCCACAAGACAGTGGAGCAACATCAGGAGATGTGCTCACGTGGTAGCCGGTGACCAACAACACGTTCATACGCCATTTGTTTTCTTCGGGATCCTGGAGCCTATGTATACCATTGGTTTGTAATCGGGGTTTTCCAACTCCCTTAAGTGAACTCTCTGTGTCCACTAACCCGGTTAACGGGCCAGAAATTCGCTTTTCGTCCTCTTAATTTGGTAATCAACAACTTCACGACGAGAAGACAATGATTAGGACTTCCCTGGTAGTGGCTGTATACGTGTGGTCATGTGAGAGCATTTCGAGAGGGAGAACCGAATCTCCCGAAGCTCTTCCGTATCAGAGTATTTGGGGGAGAGCTCTCTGCTAGTGATTTATTATTGAAGTTGATAATAGACCAAGCATCCCTATTCTTAATGTTAAACCGATACTTTAGAAAGGTCTATTTATATAAAACCTTTATGAATTTAGCATTTAACAAGCTTCTACAATTCGATTCTTGTTAGTACAGTGAAAAATTTGGAATATCTCTCTCATTTAACGTATAAGTTTATCCAAGTTAACATGGTATATTAATCATCTATTTCGTTTCACAATCTTCAAATGGTGCAGTTTGACCTAAACATGGCCATATTTGGGTTCATTAATTTGAATATGTAATTATAGAACCTGAAGAGAATTTCACATGGTATTAATTGCTTGAATTTTCCGATTGTTGTTTAGGACTGCAGTTGATCCAGCTGACGATTCTTAAACAGGGCGAAACGCGCATCGAGTTGGATTCCACTAATAGCCATTATTCATCCAAGTTTATAATGCTTGTGAATTAAGGCATTATCGGAGCAATTTGCGCAGGGTGTACATATCTCAACAAGAGACTGATCAATTGCAGATCTAAACATCAATGGGAAGATTCAAGTAATAAACAATACCAAGTGAATTAAAACTCCACCCTATTGCACAAGCGTGTTGCTATTAGGACTCAAAGCTAAGTGGATGATCCTGGATTTGAGTCCGATAGTGAAGATGAACTTGGAGATGCAGGTAAATCGAGATGACGAGTCCAAAATGGGACGAAACGTGCATCCTGGATTCTACTGCTAGTCACCATCCACCTCTGTTTTTAATTACTTCATTATTGTTATCAAAGGGGAATGACACATTTCCAATATGATAATTAATTACTATAAATTACTGATATATTTTAAATTGTAATTGAGGAACATACTATACTATATCCAATATTAACATTCATCTTCTACTCAGTTGAATTGTTGTGTGTATTACCGACGTCGACAGATATAAGTAATAGTATGTATCATCAATCGAAAGTGAAATACCTAGCGACAGAAGTTCGAGAAGATCAAAGGAAATAGGACGAGAATAAAGAATGATTGGTGTGGAAACGAAAGAACAGTGAAGTCTGATCATTTCTGATCATTTTTTAACTAACGACCAATCATAAACAACAATGTAGGTTATAGAAGTAATTCACATGATCATTCAAGTCATCACACCTAACAACAGACAGGGGAGAAATGTAGTATGGTGAGTAACATAACAACCAAAACAAAGACGTAAACTATGACAGGTTTAAGATTAACAATAACCAATCAACACGTGTTACGTATGCCTGAACACCGATTGTCACGACACGTAATGTTGACTAGAGTAGGAGATGGTTGGAAGAAATTAGGGTTGGCCAAACCAAAACGTGGCATCAATGCTTGAAGTCATTTTGGTAGATTCAGACTACTTGGTTGGGGTCCGCGTGACTATCGTAACCAATGATTGGAGACTCTTAGTGACATGGCTCAGAATCGATCACAATGGCGTCGGCGTATACACTCCCTGTATTCCCTCAAACTATGAGACTAAAATCGCTTCATATCTTTCATTCTACGAACTAATTCTTTCTTTCTGTAGTATATCTTTACATAAAATCTTTCCTTTATTTATTACACCATTGAGTTAACTGCTTCTATGAATCCGGTGTTCATCTTGTTGTGCTAATGAGGTATGGCAACTTGAACCGATGCATATATGTGCCTGGTCTAACGTTGTAGCTGACTGACTGCTGACTGAGGTCTACGAGACAAACTGTGAACCATATGCTGGGAAATTCGAACACTTCCTCTGAAGTTTGTACTGATAATGTCGTTCAGAAGAACGATGAAAGCTTCACGGTCAAACCATCCAGCTCACAGAACAAAACGACATCAATATAAGTAGAAAAATAACATCATTTGCAAAGGATAGATTAATATAGAGAATTTAGTATAAAAAGAATAAATAAGATGGGAGACGACAACGAAAGTTCAGGACCTAGTAGGGGAACCTTTTTAATTCAACATCTTCAAATATTAATAAATCGTGATAATCTAATGGTTGAATTCATGAGTCCATTGAAGCTAGACTACCATGAATACCCGGAAGCACTGGACGACCGTTTCGTCCTAGTATGCGACTTCTCAGCAGTGCACATTCACGACCCCGCACTCAGGACTCGAACCCAAGACCCGTCGGTCCCCTGCGCGAACGATTAGCCTCTAAACCACTGAGTTAGCCGACATCCAACAGTGTTAATGTCTAACTTCAATCAATCCACAAAATTACACCACCATTCTTTATTGTCTTCAGTGAATTACTTTCTCACAACAGACCCAGTTGAAATCTACTGGTCACGACTTCTCACTAGTACTGCAAAAAATACCTTATGAAGCCTGTCACTAGTAAGCATATGATCAGAGGAGGGTTTTTGTGGATATTTTAGTAATTTGATAATTGTGATAAAAAACAAAACAAAACAATGGATCTCAAACAAGCATCCCACACCTATCATTACTCTTTATTCAAATACTCAATGACTTCATTCATTAACATCATATCTTTTAGTGAAAACTATTTCACTTAAACAGTATTAAAAATATCATGAGTATTTCAGTAGGAAAAGACGATGGAAATGGATAGGACATACATTACGCAAATCATCAAACTACATCACGAGGCGAGCCCTGACTTGGAATCCTGAAGGGAAGCGGAAAAGTGGAAAAGTGGCCAAAGAACATATTACATTGGGAAATACAATCAGATATGAAAAAGATGAATAACAACTGGAAGTAACTGGAAAGGATTGCCTAGGACAGGGTTGAATTGAGAATGCTAGTGAGCGGCCTATGCTCCTTCACAGGGAGTAACAGGCGTAAGTAAGTAAGAGTATTTCAGTAATAGTATTTTTTTATTAAAAATGCATGAATATGTATATGATATTACTAATAATTATGAAAAGAAATATACACAAAATAGAATAAGTTTTGATGATTTATATACATGAACTACTACTGTGAATCAAATGATTGGCATGGATACATACACACACAAATAGACTCGATCGAGCAAACAAACAACTCCATAGGCTTTGTTCTTTGAGTTGAATGATTTGTTCAAGAATAAAACTTTATCCAAGACCATTCAACTGAACTATAAAATCTTCATCATCATCATCATCATCATCATCATCTTCTTCAAATCATATAAACATTTATTGAAAGGAATCATGTTAAAGAGGACAGCAATAACAAAGAACTTGTTATTCAGATCAAATATTAAATAGTTGACTTTGTATTTTAACCTTGAATAAGTTCTAATAGAAGTGATTTTAATAAACGTGCTTCATATGTAATAGTATTTTGTCCTGGATGAATTTTCTGTGGTTCAATTGGTTGTTCAATAATCACTTTTATATTACGTCCATATACTAAAATATAATCAATGAAATGATAATATTAAGTGAATTCTTCAATGGAAATAATGAATAAATAGTGATTTCAACAGTTGAGATCATGAGTCCATTGAAACTAGACCACCATGGAAAACCTGGAAGCACTGGACGGTCGTTTCATCCTATTGTGGGACTCCTCAGCAGTGCGCATCCACGACTCCGCCTCGCAGGATTCCAACCCAGGACCTATCAGTCTCGCGCCAGGCGCTTAACCAATTAGATCACTGAGCCGGCATCTAACGGTGTCAATGTCTAACTTCAACTAATCCACAAAATTGTGCAACACATCCACCATTGTCATCAGTGAGTTACTATCTTATAACTGACCTGGCTGAACTCCACTGGTCATTGCTTCTCACTAGAACTCCAGGATATACCTCTTGAAGCCAGTCACTACTGAGCATATGTTAATTAATATCAGAAGGGGTTTTGTGGAGATTGTAGTCATTTCAACAGTTGAGATAAATAATAATAATAATAATAATAATAATAAATAGTGCCTTTCATAAATGTTTCAAGGTATAATCAGTGATTTGTTATAGTAGAAACAATTAACATTTATAAGTAAAGATGAATAGTGGCTAGTAGTGGAATTCAGTTTGATACACGTTTCGTCCCATTTGGGACTCGTCAACTTGATGTAGCTACATCTCAGAGTTGATGTTCACTCTGGGACTCAAATCCAATACCATTCACTTCAAATGCCATTGTGGTATCTACTAAGCTACTGAATATTAACAGCCACTTGCTTGTGAAATAGGGTGAAGTTTTAATTTAATTGGTACTGCTTGCTTGTATCTTTTCATTGATGTTTAAAACTGCAATTGATCAGTCTCTTGTTGAAATATGTGTACCCTGTGCGAGTTGCTTCGATAATGCCTTAATTCACAAGCATTATAAACTTGGATGGATAATGGCTAGCAATGGAATCCGATTTCATACACGTTTCGTCCTATTTGAGACTCGTCAGCTGAATATACCTGAATCTCATAGTTGATCTTCACTCTCGGACTCAAATCCAATACCATTCAATTTAAACACCATCGTATTATCTACTTAGCTACTGAGACCTGATAGCAACACGCTTTTGTAATGGGATGAAGTTTAAATTCACTTGGTACTGGTTACTCGTAACTTTTTATTGATGTTAAGGGTTGAAATTAGTCAGTCTCTTATTGACATATATTCGTATATACCAATAAGTCCTAAACATCAATGTGAAGATTCAAGTAAACAACAATACCAAATGAAATTAACAATTATGAATAATAAACTCATGTATAGAAAGATTAGAACATTCATTCTAGAGAGAGAGAGATACTATCGAGGTCAAAGTAAGTTGAATATAACTTGTTGATTGTTAATAATGGAATAGATATTGTAAATGTTGGAACTAGTTTTTAGAATTAATATCAATGATGACTTTGTTGTACATTTATTAAGTAACTAGATTACTCTGTACATATATGGATATCCTATTTATCACACGATTTCAGTTGACTTATTAACTATGGTTATATGATATACAGTTATAATTTTGTTGTCAGTCTATTATTTACGATCTCCCCCCCCTTTCATTCATAACTACCTCCTCTATAATTTTATGGGTAATATGGTCTGGTATGTTTGTATATTAAACAATATCTATTTGAAATATAAATATATCGTAAAGGTTGGTTACTAATTCTGGACTCAAAGGTGGACAAATAGGAACCTAGTTGCCGGCCTATGGACAGTAGTGATAAATGAGTGTGTAATTAACCAAATCAGAGACACTACACTATGGAGTATATATATTAGGTTGAATTAGAATCAGGATTCTGATTGATAACTGGACACTTGATATTAGATAACGGTCACAAGACATAAGATAAATGTAACTGATAAACTGTTAGAATCCAGAAAAGCTATAAACAGCTGTTTTATTGAAGATCGTAGATTCATCATAGTGTTCACACATAACGTTCAAGGTTTCCTAGTGGGCACATGTTATAACTTGTGGCAATGTGCCCTATTATTATATAACGCAAAGATACTGCCAATTGGAGAACAGTGGTTTATCGACAGGACCAATGGGGCATGAAACCCGTACAAACAGTTTACAATCTTTGTCTGTCCTACACGACACTTCTAGAATCTTTCAAATTGTGACACTGTATGGTACCATCTCTGTCTTGACTAAAATAATTCTATCGGTCAATAATTCTCATCAGATTTATTGTTGACAAATCAAAAACATACGTTAGGAAAAACTTAAGGAATCTTTCAAAATACTTCTAATGAAACACTGAATTTTATGAGTTGATTCCTTAGCTTACTGCTGAAATATAGTCCGTTTCGTTCCAGTATGGGACTCCTCAGCAGTGCGCATCCACAATCCCTTGGTTCGAATCCCGCAGGCGAGATTGTGGATACGCAATGTTGAGGAGTCCCATACTGGGACTATACAACCGTCCAGTGCTTGCTGATTTTCCATGGTGGTCTAGCTTTAGCTGACTTATGAATTCAACAATTAAATTACTACAATCTCCCTACTACAAACTCCCTTCTCATAATAAATATTGTCATTAAATGATATACTTTAGTTGTAAACTTGTCTGTTCAGATCATGAATCACTTTTCATAGGATCAAGACATTTATATTGATTGATCAGTAAGTAATAAAAAACCTAATGTTGGTTCAATCTCTTGAACCCTATAGAAAATATCAGCTATCTGAAGATAACAGAAATATTTTTGCCAACAAATGTTAACTAGAAAGAAACCTGGGGTCCGATATCAATCACAAAATAAATAAGTCAATGACAGATTTTAAACATTCAATATCATATGACTTACATTCACAATGTTCTAAAAATTGCATGCACTCCATGAGTACAGCATCTCTTAATAAAATCATATGTTTTGACATATTTTCAATCAGTGATAGGAAACAACGTTTAGCATAATACCTGAGAGAGAGAGAGAGAGAAAGTGAAGGGAAATAATGATAATATTATTATTTACGTAGTTTACCTTACCAACTGTTCTTAACTAGACAACCATCTCAGTCAGTCTGTCATCTACAACGTTAGACCAGGCACATATATGCATCGGTTCAAGTTGCCATACCTCATTAGCACAACAAGATGAACACCGGATTCATAGAAGCAGTTAACTCAATGGTGTAATAAATAAAGGAAAGATTTTATGTAAGGATATACTACAGAGAGAAAGAATTAGTTCGTAGAATGAAAGATATGAAGCGATTTTAATCTCATAGTTTGAGGGAATACAGGGAGTGTATACACCGACGCCATTGTGATCGACTCTGCATCTACCAACATGGATAAGGCCAGAAGTAAGTGACTTCAAGCACCAATACTACGTTTTGGTTTGACCACACCGATCTTTCTCCAGTCCGTCTCCAACACTAGTCAGCATTGCGCGTTGTGGTAATCGGTGTTCAGGCATACGTAACAGTTGACCCAACCATTTCAGTCGATGAAGATTCACAACTTTATTGACGGATTTACGATCATTTAATAATACCCTGCGCGTGATTCCAGCAAATGCGAGCAACAACTGTCTAAAACTTGGAAGCTTCGAAAGGTGTTTCAACCTGGTAGGTGACTCTTCAGCGTTACACATTCACAAAATCCCAGTCGAGAATTGAACCCAGAACTTAAGTGCATGAACCTCTAGACTAACGAGCTGGCATCTAGAGGTCTTAATATCTAACATCCTAGGACGCTAACCTTGGTTCAGTGATATGAGGTTGTTAAAGTGTATTGCTAATGATGAAAAAATCATCGAGTTCGTTTACGTTTCCAATAGTCGCTTAGTTAAGATCCGACAAAAATACTCTTTATACTAGTACTTACTTACTTACGATTTGTCATACCACATTAGCACAGAGATACAATTGTCGATTCGAATCCCGTAGTGCTAGAGGCATTAAAAGTATAAGCAGTAATCGGAAACATTAGGGTTTGAAGATGTTATTCAAGGAGTATAATCCATTGAAATAAATTTGGAAAGTAAAAAAGGGACCACAAATAATAAATTACTATGTACATGTATCATTAGAACTTCTTTTATTCTATACAAAAGTTGGGTAAAATCTCAACGTTTCGTTCAACAATCTGATCTAAGCTTTTGCAAAGAATTAAAACCAAACATTAAAATTATTATCAGAATGGATTTTGTAAAGTTTGTAGTAATTTTAATGGTTGAAATCATGAGTCCATTGAAACTAGACCACTATGGAGGACCTCGAAGCACTGAAAGGCCGTTTCATCCTATTGTGAGACTCCTCAGCAGCGCGCATCCATGACCGCACCTAGCGTGATTCGAACCAAGGACCTATAGGTCTCGAGTGCGAGCGCTTATATATATATGTGAGTAAATACATAGTTCTTTCGTTCACTGTATACCGAAAAGATCATTTAAATAAACGTTGACAATGTTTGAAATTAAGGTAGATCGTCAATCTGAGACGTTCAAAGTGTCCTATTAAGAGAAATCTGTCTAAATCCCTAATAATTTACTAGTCAAAATAATTATGTATCTATCCAACCAACTTTTGTTATTCACTTTTTCTATTGTACATCATTTTCTTTAAAAAAAATAATAGTTTTAGGATTTGATTATAAATTGATTGATGATACGGTAGATCTTCAGTGATCTAGACATGTTTTACCCATAAGGAGATGTAATACTAACTAATGTGATAACAAGCAACAAATAAGATTTTCACTTCAATTAATAGTATTATTCATCTTATCATCATCATCCGAATCATTCTCATTATCATCGGCATCAACATCATCAACATCATCATCGGCATCATCATCTTGTTAATGTCATCTTTTAACGTTATGATATGAGATGGGACAACTTGAACTGATACACTAATGTCTAAGGTTCTACATAGTTTATGAATGATCGGTCAACTTGTTATTATCAGTGTTTATTTGTGTTTGTCTAGTTAATATCCCCGAAAAAATCAATAAATATTGATTAGTTCACATTTTCAGTTGATATATAGATACAGCACCAACTAAGTAAAAAATGAGAAAAAAAAATGCCGATTAACACTTAGTGAATTTTGCATTGAAAATATTTTTTTAAAGGAAAATACACAGGTGTAGAGGTAGAAAGAATAATGATACATTGGACATAATCAGATATCAACCAGATTGGTCAAAAAATGGTTGTGATTTCTAAGGGATAAGACATATTTACTTACTTAATTACTTACTTACTACTGTTACACCTCGTGGAGACTCATAGGCCACATACCACCATTCTTCATCCAACTCTGTCATGGGCACTTTTTTTCTAGTTCTTTCCAGTTGCAATTCATCGTTTACATGTCCGATTTCAATTTTCGACGCAGTTTATTCTTTGGCCTCTCCTATTTCCGTTCCTCTTTAGGATTCCAAATTAGCACTTGCCTCGTGATTCAGTCTACACAATGTATGTCCTATCCACTTCCTAATTTCCACTTCATCCGAAAGTTAGTTTGTTCTGTTCCACAATAGGCTGTTGCTCACGGCATCTGGACAACGGATATTGAGTATCATACGTAGACAATAGTTTATAAATACTTGTACCGTCTTGATGATGGTTTTAGTATAACTAGTTTCAGCTCTGTACAGTAGAACTGCCTTGACGTTCGTATTGAAGATTCTCACTTTGATATTGATTGACAGTTGCTTTTAGTTCCATAGGTTCCTCAACTATAAGAATGCTGTCTTTGATTTACCAATCCTCACCTTTACGTCTGCATCGGATCCTGCTTATTCATCGATGATGCTGCTCATATACGTGAAAGATTATACATCTTCCAGAGTTTCTCCATCAAGTGTGATTGTATTAATGTTCTCCGTGTTGTATTTAGGGATCTTGCTTTTTCCTTTGTGTATGTTGAGAGCCACTGATGCAGAGGCTGCTACTACACTCGTTGTCTTCATCTGCATTTGTTTGTGTGAAAGCAACAGAAATTGCAAGTCGTATACGAAGTTCAAATCGTCTAGATTTCTCTCATATATCGATGTTTTCATCATCTAATCGACCACTAGAGGGAAGAGAAAGGAGGAGAGTGTACAGCCTTGTCTGATTTCAGTCCTCACTTGGTATGTATCTGTTAGCTATCCTCCATGTATCAGATGATAATCTTTATTTCTCTTTCTCAATCTTTTCACTCAAGTAACCAGTTACACTCATATATAAAGACATTAAGAATCTGAATCACACACACACATACACACACATATATAATGATCTACTTACCATGTATCTGGTCCTAATTTCTTTTGATATGGTTCTAAACTTTTCATAATACGACTAATACCAAAATCATAATTCCCTTTAGTACAATATAATGTACCAATTACTAAATTAATAATACATAAATGATAACATTTTTTATTAGAATAATGATGATTCAATGGATCTATTTCAACTCCTTCAAGAACTACTTCTTGATGTTGTTGTTGTTGTTCTAGTTCTTCTTCTTCTTTTTCTATTTTACGCATTAATTCTTCAGCATATTCATTTTGACTAGTCATTATATAGGTAACACATAAATTAGCTATAATAATTGCATTAATATTTAATAAATTTGTATATTGACGTTTTATAATGGGTTCATAAAAATTACATGCTTCTTTATATTTATTCTCTTGCATAAATAATACATGGGCAACATTTAATTTCCATATTGGATGATCATTACAAAATTCAACTGATTTACGAAAGATTTTCTCAACCTAAAGAAAGAAAAGGGAGGTATCAAATAGATATGACATTCGATAAATGTGTGGAGGAGTTGAAATACTAACCCCAGGAGTATCTAAACTGAAGTAGCTAGTGGAGGTCATATCTTACAGTCTTTGAACTAGTGGATATAGAGGATTCATTTAGCTTACTAAATTACTTACTTACTTACGCCCGTTACTCCTTGTGAAATACCATAGGTCACTCGCCAGCATTCTCCATTCAACTTTGTCCTGAGCAATCCTTTCCAGTCCTTTATAGTTCCTATTCAGCCTTCTCATATCTGATTCTATTTCCTGACGTAATGTGTTCTTTGGCCTTCCACTTTTCCGCTTCCCTTTACGATTATAAGTTAGCATTCGCCTCGTGATGCAGTTTGATGATTTGCGTGTTATATATATCCTATCCATTTCCATCGACTTTTCCTAATTTCTTCTTCAGCTGGAAGTTGGTTTGTTCTCTCTCACAGAAGGCTGTTGCTGATGGTATCCGGTCAATGGATGTTGAGTACCATGCGTAGAAAGCTATTTATAAATACTTGTACCGTCTTGATGATGGTTATAGTATAATTATCCTAGTTTCAGATCCGTACAATGGAACTACCTTGACGTTCGAATTGAAGATTCTCACTTTGGTGTTGGCTTGTAAACAGTTGTTTTGAGTTTCGTGTGTTCCTCAATTGTAGGAATGCGGCCCTTGCTTTGCCAATCCTCACCTTTACGTCTGCATCTGATTCTCTTTGTTCATCGATGATACTTTTCAGTTAATGAAGGATCTTTCAGAGTTTTGCCATCAAGTGTGATTGTATTGTTGTTCTCCGTGTTGTATTTGAGGACCTTGGTTTTCCCTTTGTTTATGTTGAGGCCTAGTGATGCAGAGACTGCTGCTTCACTGGCTGTCTTTATCTGAATTTTTTCGTGAGTTGGAAAATTTAGACCCCAAACTAATGGTGTACATGGGTTCCAGAATCATGAAGGAATAAATGATGTATGGAACTACTGTTGGTTATCATGGAGACCACGAGACTGCATCTATTTAGCTTGTTCCACTGTCTTGTGGATTAGACATTTAGGTCAAAGGTTTCAGGTGTAACCCTTTAGGAAAACCATCTGCTTCGGTTTAGGCACCCTGGAAATATACCAGCCCTTACACAAATCGAATGATTTATATGGCGCATATCTGTTTGATGCTTTCTTATATCAATGCTTATGTGTTTAAACAAATAAATAAGAGGTCTAATCCACAAGGGAGTGGAGTAACGTAAGGATATGAAGTCAATTGGTAGTCGGTGACTAACGATTGGTTCATAAGCCAATCTTTCCCTCAGAATACTAGAGTTCACGAATACCATTGATTTGGAATCAGGGTTTTCTAATCGCTCTAAATGGATCTTGCATATCTACCAACCTGGTTACCGCATTGGACATTTTGCTTTTCATCCTCTCGACTTCCTGAACAACAGTTATGCCGTGACAAAGCAAAGAACAGGACATCTGCGGTAGTGATTGCATGCACCTGATCATCTGAGAGCATTTTAAGAGCAATAGCTGACTATCCCTATTATCGGCCGTACCATGGCATTTGGGGGCAACAAAACAAAACAAAATAATCACTCAGTAAATCACTCTCTAATTAATCCACAATAAAACAAACTCCATTTTTAAAGATTAAAGGAGTTTTGCTAAACGTTATTCATTTATTATCTAATATTGGTCTTGGATAACTATTGAATAGGCACGCATCTATATGCTTATAGTGCCCAGAATTCTTGACGATCGTGTGTTTCAAAAAAACATTTCCAGTTCTGAAATCATCTCAATAAGATTTGGGTAAATTGCATTTTGTTTCTGAGCCGTCGGTTAGATTGTGGGCAGTGATCACTAAACTTTCAGTCACACATGTTTATATCATGACCAATAGTTAAGACTGACTAAACATAAAAGCTATTGTCTTTCTTACAATAATTATTTTCATCCTTGATCATTCATTTGTTAACCAAAACAGAACATATGGTTATGGTATTCCCGATGCGTATTGCACATATAAATAACAGGTTTAATTTTCTAATATTTATTTACACATTCAGTTGGCCAATGATTTTATCTTTTGAAATCATAAGCTATCATTTGTCAGCTCGGCTTTTCAGACGACTATCTGTAAGAAACTAAGCCATATTAAATCTGTTAATACTACTAGATTGCCTAGACTGAAATAAATAGGATGTGTTTAGAAAATGTGGAGGACCGCTGGAAGACGTATTCCGAATGAGGACCGGAGTCAGACAAAGCTACCTTCTCTCCTCTTTTCTCTTTCTTCCGGTAGTTGATTGGATTATGAAAACATCGACATCTGAGGGGAAACACGGAATACGATGGACAGGTTGCATACAATTAGATGGTTTATACTTTGCCGATGACCTGGCCCTTCTATATCATACACATCAAGAAATGAAGGTCAAGACAAACAGTATAGCAGCAGCATGTGCATCAGTAGGCGTCAACATACACGAGGGAAACAGCAAGATCCTCAAACACGACACAGAGTAAACCAACCTAATGTCACTTGATGGAGAAACTCTGAAAGATGCACTCATAGACTTATCTCTCACTCTTTATGTAGTCTTGTGACGGAAAATGATCTTTTGACAATCTTCGACGTATTCATACTCCGTAAATGTGTCTAGTACTTACACTGTGACATACTTTCAGTATATAGATATACATATAAATAATCTCAATAGTTGAAATCATGAGTCAATTGAAGCTATACCACCATGAAAAACCTGGAGGCACTGGACGGCTGTTTCGTCCTAGTATGGAATTCCTCAAGAGTGCGCATCCACGATCCCGCCCCGCAAGATCCGAACATAGGACCTACCAATCTCGCGCGCCCGAGCGCTCAAACATTAGACCACTGAGCTGGCCGACATTCGACGGTGTGAATGTCTAACTTCAACCAATCCACAAAATTGTGGCCGTCCAGTGCTTCCAGGTTTTCCATGGTGGTCTAGCTTCAATTGACTCATGATTTCAACTGTTGAAATTACTAAAATCTCCACAAAACCCCTTCTGATAAATATATGTATAAACAGCAACAATCTCTGTATATCTTTAATGTTTACCTGTTGATAATTTTCCATATCCCAATAGATTTTAGCTTGTTGCATCAATACTGGAATATAATTTTCTAATGCCATATCATATTCATGTACAGTAGTTCTAACTAATTCATCATTTTGATTTTGTCTAGCTTCTTGAATTATTTTTGTTAATCGTCTTAATTGTTCTGTATGTTTAATAGCCATTTGATCAAGACGACTTGAGTAAAAGATTTCAAAGAAAATCACAAAACAAAATAATTGCTGATTACTTCATCCATTACAAAACAAGTTTAGAAGATGATATTTAAACTGACACCTAAATTATAGGACCTTCGACTATTCAAGTATTAACTAAGTTTTCACATGGTCATCACATTGTGTCAAGACTGGGATTCAAACCTATGCCCACAGGGTGGACTGCGACTTGAACGCAGCGCTTTGAACCTCTCGGCCATCCTGACTAAACCAACTAATGCCTCAACAAATTGTACCTATTTATATCTGCATTGAATCAACAATGGAATACTTCTTTAATACTTAATGCTGGTCAAATAACAATAGTTAAGTTGCAATGAATTTAATAATCTAAGTTAGATGACGTAATCTGTTTGATGACGGCAATCTACAGGAAACCCTGGATCTAGGATTCGTATTAACTGGGACATATCAATGAGACATACCTGGAATCTTGAGGAAGTTTACGTTTAAGGTCAACAAGAACTAATCAACATCGAGATCTACAGGACAAGCTGTGAACTACATACGGAGAAATTCAAACACTTCACTTTTATCTGAAGTTTGTGCTGATGATGTCGTTCAGAAGAACGATGAAAGCTCTACGACAAAACCATCCAGCTCAGAGAACAAAACTCCATCAAGATCTAACTATATATATATGATCACTTTCTCTACATTATAGATACAAAGCCAACAACCATTCTATCATATTTCAATACAACCAAAATTCAAGTATAAGCAATTCATTTCGAATTGTACATTCATTATTCAATGACCAAGGGTAGGAAAATATATATGACACATCAGATACCTGTTAAACGATCGGTGAGACTATAGTTTATGAACGACCTTTGAGCGATGCTAGATCGACCTTGAGAGTATCCACCTAATAACCAGGATCAAATGAGGGTTATAAAGCTATGTGAGGGATTAGAATTATAATTTACAGTTGATGATTAAAATTAGGAATTAGATTTCAGGTTTTTATCACGAAATGACATCAGCTATAATACCAAATGGATCCAAATGGGTGGGTGAATTTCACGCCAAAATTCGAGACCTTTTATCTTATACATGAATGATTCGTCTATAAATTGTAGTCTTGTCAACTATCTATCAGTCTATCTGAAAAAAAACTAATCACTGTCTACTTTGTCCCAGGTGACACCCATCAGTAGTTTATTCATTTGCATCGGCTGATCAATGTCATGTTTGTTTGTACTTAATGTTGAACAATTTCTACCAGTTAGTTTGTAATATAGTTACCAAACTAAATGATTCAATATTCTTCACACTGTTTTGATGGCTAAACCTAAGTTTTGTGTTAATTGGTACTTATCAGTATGATGTACTTGTGATCTGCAGGAAAGTGATATTCAGTGTGATATTTGAAGATCTATTCAAAGCCGAACTTGATTCCTACTTAATTTAAATGTCACAGTCACGTAGGAGGTTAAGTGTGGCTCAAATTCATCAATAATACCGTCTCCTGCTCGTAGTAAGGGTTAGAATTACTCGCTATAAATAAGTGGATTGGTTGAGGTTAGACATTAACACCGTTGGATGCCGGTTTAGTGATCTAGAGGTTAAGCGTTCGCGCGCGAGACTAAAGAGCATGGGTTAGAATCCCGCGAGCAGGATCTGAGATGCGCACTGCTGAAGAGTCCCACAATAGGACAAAACTGCCGTCCAGTGCTTCCAGGTTTTCAGTGATGACCTAAAATCAATCGGTTCATGATCTCAATCATAAACGAGTCTCTTGAAGATTATAGACATTCTTTACTGACAAATGTTGATTGACAGAGAAACTGAATACAACAATATTCGGTTACTTATTTTCAACTACACTTCATCTTCATTGTGAACATTATGTCATATGACAAGCTTAACATTAAACCACTTAATTTGTATAATATTATTCATTGATTGTTTGACTAGAAAATAACTGTGGGGTGTTGTAATTTATCTAAGAGATTAGGCTATACTGTCAATAATTTTGACAGCTTAAAGGATCGATTCTGTGTCAGGTTTTAGAACATTGGTTTTCATATTACAAGTAGTAACTTTGATAGAATTCTTCACTTTATTTGTTCTTCAAATAACGCCAGCTCCTAATGGAGATTGGTTTGATAGTATATATTAAGTGACCTTGAGTGCTGTTAGAGTTATGAGGGCGGTTATCGCTTCCCGGTTGCCCACATCGTAGAGAGGTTCTTCGGGAGGTACCTGAAGAGGAAATTGGGTTAAAGGTGGTCTTAGTGACCCGAGAGCGTGACCGGAGTGCCCAAGGGACAACTGCTTGAGTTCGGTCACAAACGACCTCTTTGTGAGTAATTTTCGTGTTAGCTCCGTACTTGTTGAGACCTTACTGCCGGAGACGGATATCCATGGGATAAGACGTGGTGTGCATTTTTATTGTCGACCTTTTTTAACTCCACTCCTCCTTGTGGGAAGATAGCATCGTTGTCATGTTGGTTGTCTGAAGGAAACACCTTACTGCCGTCACACTTCTGTACAGTCAGCAGTACGACTTCACCTTCGGATCTTGGGTTTGCTGCTTTTAGTCTTACTGCTCTTCAACCTACCTGTCTGGCATGGTAGGACCATAAGGGACGATTGTTCCAAATGATAGGAGGTTATCAGTAAGCAGCCATCTACAACGATAAACATCCATGAAACTTCACAGGATCTAGTCAAAGATCTTCAGATTTCGCGACAATACTGCCTAATCACTGTGGTAGTGTTTGGTAACCTGCATTTTCAATGTTTCACATAAATATTCACACAATCACTTAGGTGAACGCTGATAATGTTCATATTATTGACGAAATTGAAGATGATTTTTTGATGACTTGATGAAAAGTCTTGTGTTTAACAAAGTCAATGAGGCTGAGTTAAAGATACTAACCTATAGATGATATCGACTGTGAATTATACTATTATCGCGATATAGTTCATGTTGATAATATTAATTACTGACTTTCAGCTTGACACTGATTATCATTCAATAGGCAGTCATGGCGAACCTTTAAATCCTTTAGGAGGGTAGTCATTGTTCAGATAACTCAGTGACGACGTCTTTGATTGCAAAACTGGATAATATCGATTTGAATATCACGTGAAACGTAAGCTTGAGATGATAGAGAAGATTTGTAGCTCAGGTGTGTCATTTTGATGGCGTTTTGTTCTCTGAGCTGGATGGTTTTGTCGTAGAGCTTTCATCGTTCTTCTGAACGACATCATCAGCACAAACTTCAGATAAAAGTGAAGTGTTCAAATTTCTGCACATATAGTTCACAGCTTGTCCTGTAGATCTCGATGTTGATTGGTTCTTGTTGACCTTAAACCTGTAAACCATATGTGAAAAAATTCGTACACTTCATTTCTATCCAAAGTTTGTGTTGATGATGTTATTCAAAAGAACGACGAAACCATCACAATCAAACCATCCAGCTTAAAGAACAAAACTCTATCAAAATCATTCACTAGAGTTACAAATCTTCACCATATTAGTTAGATCATCCATTGTTCATACTAAACAATTTAGTTTACTACTAGTTTAAAGACTAAATTAATCTTTTATTTCAATAAGTAAACTTACTTATAAGCATCTTGTGGAGCAGTTTGTCTAAGAATTACAGCTTCAATAAAATCAAATAAATCCGTTGATAAATATTCATAGGCTAATGTTGCATTTTCAGCTAATACATCAGCAGCTAAATCATAATATTCATATTTAATATAAAGTAATAAAAGATTAGCAAATGTTTCCGGTGGAAATGTTTCTTGTTGTAATAAAAATTGAAGTTTTTGAAAACCAATCCCAGGTTCTTTATTCATATTCATTAATGCTTGATTATGTAATGTGATATGATCAAGTTCATCTTCATTTCTTGGTGGCATATCTGTTAATGCTTCAGATGCTGATGTATAATTTTTTAAATTGAATTCAATAGCTGCCTTAAATGAGAATATCATTGAATAAAGACAATAGTTATTAAGTGGGAAATAAAGAATGAATACATATAAATGATTGTGACAATGAATCTGAACGATATCGTTCAACGTCTATAGCCATTGATAGTAGCGGGTACCCTAATTAGATAACCAACATGGGTGGACGATTTTATAGACCGATGTCACTCTTTGATTTTACTAATGTCAGATTCCGGTCAATCTGTTACTTACTTACTTACTTACTTACACCTGTTACTCCCAATAGAGCATAGGCCGACGACTAACATTCTCCAACCCACTCTGTCCTGGGCCTTCCTTTCTTGTTCTTTCCAATTTTTGTTTATTCTTTTCATGTCTGTCTCCATTTCTCGGCACAATGTGTTCTTTGGTCTTCCTCGTCCCCTTTGGCCTTGAGAATTCCATGTGAGGGCTTGCCCTGTGGCACAGTTGGGTGCTTTCTTCAATATGTGTCCTATCCACTTCCAGCGCTTCTTCCTGATTTCTTCCTCCGCTGAAATCTGGTTTGTTCTCTCCCACAGTACGTTGTTGCTAATAGTGTCCGACCAACGGATCCGAAGTATTTTGTGTAGACAATTGTTAATAAACACTTGTATCTTCTGGATGATGGTTTCCGTAGTTCTCCAGGTTTCCATCCCATACAGTAGAACTGTCTTGACATTTGTATTGGAAATTCTGACCTTGGTGTTGGTTGACAATTGTTTTGAGTCCCAGATGTTCCTTAGTTGTAAATATGATGCTCTTGCTTTGCCGATCCGCGCCTTCACATCTGCATCAGATCCGCCGTGTTTATCAAGAATGCTGCCCAGATATGTAAAGGTTTTTGCATCTTCTAAAGTTTCTTCGTCAAGTGTGATTCGATTGTTGCATGCTGTGTTGTATCGGAGAATCTTGCTTTTCGCTTTGTGTATGTTGAGACCTACTGCTGCTGGTGCTGCGACAACGTTGGTTGTCTTCTCCTGCATTTGTCGTTGCATGTGCGACAGAAGAGCCAAATCATCTGCGGAGTCTAGATCGTCTAGCTGCATCCTAATTGATCAAGATCTAATATTTGCAAAAGTATTCCAAAGTTGTATTGTAATAAATTAGATGTTATTAGGATACCATGTATTTAATTTCTAAATCTCACGGATTACAGCTTTTCACTAGTTATCCAAGAATGCTAATCATCCCTAATGAACGCGTAATTATTGAAACAGGAGGTTTGTAGTAAATGTTCGAATAAAATCCAAATGAAATTCCATACGGAAATAGGAAATACTGCATATTAAATGAGTGGTTTAAACCTACTGGCTTCTTCGGTACGACTAATGTCGAGTTCATGTTCAATCCATTTCTGGATAGTCTCAATTTACGAAGGAACAGCTCTCTTTTGCATCACAGTTTTCAGTATTTTTCTACAATGAGTCACTTCATGCTAAAATCTATACTGAAAATGGAAAACAAATCTCGTGTATTAATTACACTACTTAATATTGATTGAGTAGTTCGTGTTGTGTACATCTTCTTTCTAGTGTCATTTTCCAAACAAATTCTGTCTTTTGACATCCAGATTACACACATAGCTCCATTTTTAGATTAAAACCCTCTAAAGGATCTTAAAGATGATACTTTTGTTCACAGGATTCAACGTTTTCATTTCGTTTCAGTGTTTACAAATGAAGGAACTGTTTCATACTAAGACGAAGTATCTGTCCAGTGATTCTTGATTCTATAAGATACCTTAAATGTTGGTAGAACATATTACAAATCAAACTGACACTCACCCCCCCCCACAAAATCACTCGAATGGAAAAAATTGACAACGTAACGTTATTTTTGTAACATTAACTTATTGAGTTGCATGGATCCAATCTCCATCAGAAAACAAGTATTATGTGCAAGCGTTTCAATTTTATCACGTAATATTCCTATGTTAGCTAAAAGTGGGCACTCTGGGAATGACGTTGAAAAGTGCCCAAAACAGTGATATATCGTCACAAGAGCATCCTTAGAAAATAATGAGCAAATAGTTTTACCATGTTTATTTATTTAAACATACAAACATTGGTACAAGGAGGTACCAAATAAATATGTATCACACTTCGTTATTCGATTTGTGTGACGGCTGGAATACTACCAGGGTGCGAAAACCAAAACAGGTGAAGCTCTTAAAGGGTCACACCCGAAGTCTTTGACCTAAAGGTCTAGTCCATAAGGCAGTGGAGCAACGTCAGGAGATGCAGTTCTATGGTAGCCGATGACCAGTAGTTGGTTCATACACCATTTGTTCCTGCAGGATTCTGGAGCCCATGACCACCACTGGTTTGGAATGAGGGTTCTCCAACTCACCTAGGTGGACTTTCCATATCTGTCAACCCGGTTAAAGCACTGAGCATTCGCTTTTCATCTTCTTGACTTCGTAATCAACAGTAAAGCCGCGAGAAGGCAGTGAATAGGACTTTCATGGAAGTGTCTTTATAAACGTAGCTATGTGGGAGCATTTCGAGAGGGTGAGCGAACTCTCCCCACTGTCGGCCGTACCAGGGCAGATAATTCAGGAATTAACATAAGTATTATGAAATTCATTTGCAGTAAGTGTGGTTTTCAAGTCAACAGTTTAAGTTTATCCCACATAATGCATACGGGAGATATAAGATCAAAGGAAGACTAATGTAACAAAATCTAGAAAATAGATTAAGTCACTTGCAGCAGTCACAAAGCAGAGACTTTTTTCACCTTAGTACGCATAAAAGTAGATTGATGATGAAGCTGTACAATATTTTACCACTTAAATTCCAACATGACAGTGGACACAAATGCAACTATGTGAATATCTCAGTTTAGGATTGAGAAAACTCTAAGAATGTCAAAGAATTATTCAACTCACAAAGACACAAATCCTTATGGTGAAGATTAAACTGTTATATGGTTGAAGATCAACTGAACAAAGCATTAAGTTGGAGTATGAAAACATATGAAGTTAACAAATTCCATAAGGCCAGCAGTCACGAACGAATGTAGTAATTTCAATGAGTTCACTTCCATCTGAAGTAGTTGCTAATGATGATGTGCAGGCCGATAATGAAAGCTTTACCATTACAACGACTAGTTTAGAGAACATAACACTAGCATAAACAGGTAAAATGTAGTCCTAATATTTTGATGTAAAGTTTTGTACATAAATAATTGATTAGACTGATAGGTCCTGTGTTCGAATCTCGCGTAGGGTGGAATCGTGGATGCGCACTGCTGAGGAGTCCCATAATGGGGCGAAACAGCCGTCCAGTGCTTCCAGGTTTTCCATGGTGGTCTAGCTTCAATTAATTCATTATTTCAACTATTAAAATTACTGAAATCTCCACCAAACCCTTTCTGATAATTGATTAATTCACAAATATATAGGATTCACGATGTACGGATAGTTTCAACGACATTAACTTCTTGATAACCTTGGTCTTTTAAATATAATTTCTTTTTTTAAAGTAACTATTATATCACATCATTTATAAATAAGTATTTTGATGGAATTCTGTCTTCTGAGCTGGATGGTTTAACTGTGGAGCTTCATTAGCACCTGAAGTTTGTGCTGATGATGTCGTCTAGAAAAACGATGAAATTTTCACGACCAAGCAATCCAGCTCAAAGAACAAAACTTTAACAAAATCATTCACCTAAACTACAAATCTTCTTCACTATCTCATTAAAAAGTGTACATAAATGGGTTCGTTTCTTAGTAGATCATAGGATATAATATACTGAGGAGTCCCATAAACGTGAATACAAAACACTGTTCAATTCTCCCTGTTTATATATGTATATTCAATCATTTAAACTCACTTTTAAATTAAACGTTTCAATTAAAGCAGTTTCATGTAATGTTAATGTATTTCCAACACTTCGTACTTCTAAACCTTCTGTAGTCATACCAACACCAAGTTCTGGATGATCTCTTATTCCATGTTCTATAACATCAGCAATATATTTTAATGATTGAGCATATTGTTTCATTTGATAATAACATAATGCAATATTATAAGATAATTGTGGTTGGAAACCAGTCATCTTGATAAAAAGAAAAAGAAAAGAGAAATATGAGTTTTATTATTCTTATTTCCAATAGTTCATCTGAATTATTTGTAAAGTATTATAACAGATAATTATTGGTCTCGCGCGCGAGCGCTTAACATTTAGACCACCGAGCTGGCATCCAACGGCGTTAGTGTCTAACTTCAACCAATCCACGAAATCGCTCCACCGACACTCCTGGAGTTCTAGTGAGAAGTCGTGACCAGTAGAGTTCAACCAGATCTGTCGTGAGATATCAGCTCGCTGAAGATAGTTGTTGAATGTTTTGTCCTTTGTCTTGGAGCTGCTAGGTTCGATTGTCGGTTGGATCAAGAATGTGTATTACTAAGACGTCCTATACTTACTTAAGCTTGTTATCCCTCGTCGAGGAACATAGGTCACTCACCATCACACTTCACCTAACTCTCTCCTAAACAATTCTTTCCAGTTCTTTCCAGTTGCTATTCAGTCTTTTCATGTCTGCTTTTAATTCCTGACGCAGTGTGTTCTTCAGCCTTCCTCTTTTTCATTACCATTCAAGATTCCAAGTTAGCGCTTGGCTCGTGATACAGTTTGATGATTTCTGTTATGTGTGTCCTATCTACCTCCGATATCTTTTCTTAATTTCATCCTCAGATGAAATCTGGATTGTTCTCTCCTACAATAGGCTATTGTTGATGGTATCCGGTCAACGGATATTGATTATTATGCGTAAATAATTGTTTATAAATACTTGTACCGTTTCGATTATGGTTGTGGTAATTCTACAAATTTCAACTGCGTACGCTAGAATTGTCTAGAAGTTCGTACTGAAGATTCTCACTTTGATATTGGCTTGAAGACAGTTGTTTTTAGTTCCACATGTACTTCAACTGTAGGAATGTGACCCTTACTTTGCCAATCCGTGCTTTTATGTCTGCATCACATCCTCTTTGTTCATCGATGATGCTGCCCAAGTACGTGAAAGATTACACATCATCCACAGTTTTTCCATCAAGTGTGATTGTGTTGGTGCTGTGAGTGCTGTATTTAAGGATCTTGCTTTTTCCTATGAGTATGTCGATGGCCACTAGTGCAGAGGCTGCTACTACACTCGTTGTCTTCATCTGCATTTGTTCGTGTGAAAGAGACAGAAGTTGCAGGTCGTGTGTGAGGTCCAAATCGTCTAGTTGATTCTGAGTTTCCCATTGTATTCTGTGCTTTCCCTCATATGTCGAGGTTTTTACAATCCAGTCAACCACCAGAAGAAAGAGAAAAGAGGAGGTTAGACAACTTTGTCTGACTCCGGTCCTCATTTGGAATGTATCTGTCAGCTGATCTCCATGCACTACTTTGCAGTGTAGTCCGTCGTATGAATTCTGGATGATATTGACGAACTTCTTAGGTACAGAATGGTGTCGGAGAAGCTTTCATAATGTTCTGCCATCTGTACGCCGTCAAACGCTTGCTCATGGTCAATGAAGTTCCACCCAACTGATTTTTCAACGATGATCCGTAATGTCGTGATTTGGTCGGTGCACAACAAGACGTCCTATACGAGAATAAAATATCTGTTCAGTTATCCGAGTTCTTAATACTTTTTTAATTAACATCAGCTACTGATGTCTTCAGAAACCCCCCAAAAAATTACAATAAAATCACCAATTTTCTAATTTGATTTTATTCATGCTATCTATATTCTCGCTGGTTAATTCCTTACTGCTCCAGCATTCCCTTTTCACCACAACTCAGAAAGCATAATCGGAGAACAAGATTTATTCCAAATAACCAAGATATTAGGAGTCGCAGTAGTAATAACAAAACAGGTTTACATAAAATTTACAGACGAATCTTCCAATCCAATCTTAATCTGTTCATTGGCTCTGAATTTTTGGAAATGGAACTGTCAAAATATTCAAATTTAAGCTTGATCTGAGCAGGTTAAGATTCAGTGGAGATTATTAAGCTTTTGATTGAGATCATGAACCGATTGATGTTAGACCACCAATGAATACTTGAAAGCGCTAGATGGCCCTTTCGTCCTATTGTGGAATTCCTCAGCAGTGCGCACCCCCGATCCTGTTCGCCGGATTCTAACCCAGGGCCTTTAGTCTCGCGCGCGAACGTTTAACCTACTGGACCACTGAGCCGGCATTCAATGGTGTTAATGTCTAGCTTCAACCAATCTACGAAATTACATGACCATCTCCCATTGTACTGAGTTAGGTAGCTGCCTCTACCCAACACGGATTAGCTCAACTAATCATAGCTTCTCACTAGGACTCCGAGAATCCCCTCACGAAGCTAGTCACTATTGAGCACATCTTATTAAAAACTCTAAATAGTATGGCAACAAATCAGATGAATGGTCGCAAGAATCTTTATTATTCTGATTCACAACTCATACGGTTATATAAATGAAATACCACACTATAAAGTACTATATGTGCTAAAATGTAATGGATACGCAACAGATTGCTGTAATTATATCCTGAAGATTGCTTTGTATAACAAATAATATCATTCGTAATTGTTTCAATAATCTTTCGCTCATGTTAAGTTCCGTATTCGTATTTAACTTCAAACCAGACATTTCATTTTCGATTGATGATACATACTACTTATGTAGTGTGTGCTACTTATATCGACATTAGTATACAACGCGAGTCTGGAATACTATGTCTGGCAGCAGAAGATTAGGAAGATCGAGAAGGGAAGAACGGGAACAGAAAGCAATTGGTATGGAAATGCAGGAATAATGAGGTTTGAGACAATTAATGAACATTTTGCAAATGAAGTATTAAAGTATGGTTTTTTCGATTTTACCAAGTAACTCTGTAATGTCTGTTGACACCAGTAGCACACACCACACTCAACAGTTCCCTCCTCTAGGACTGACTACTAGAAACAGGGATGGTTGTGATGTGTGCTATTGATGAAGATAAATATAAGTAGCATGTATCATCAGTCGGATGTAAATTGCCTGGCGACACAAGTTTAAGAAGATTGAAGAAAGGAGAACGAGAACAATGAGGTCTTAGATCATTGACTGACATTATGCAAATGAAGTATTTACTGTACATTTCTCAGACTTTACTAAGATATTCTGTAATTTCGTATCCAAGTCCATTCGGTTGTCCCTACTGGTATTCCAGTTCAATACATTATTACAATTTCTTCAAAGTACACTACTTTCTAAGTTATTCTATAGTTGTATTTATCTATTCCTGAATTGTATGATTTTAGTATTAGAACATTTAACTGATTCTCTTGATGAATTATATTCAGCCAGTTTACTAAAACTAACTTTAAGTCACTTTTTTATCGTTAGAATGAAAGTTACTTCGCTCTCTATTATGATTTATACTACTACATAGTCAACTTAGTTAATCCTTTTGTTAAACTAACTGGATGCTGGCTCAGTGGTCTGGTGGTTAAGCGCTCACGCGTGAGAATGATAAGTCCTGGGTTCGAATCACGTGAAGGGGGGCGGGATCGTGGATGTGCACTGCTGAAGAGTCCCATACTAGGACGGAACGGCAGTTCAGTGCTTTCAGGCTTTCCATTATGGTCAAGCTTCAGTTGACTAATGATCTCGACCATTGAAATTACTACAATATCCACAAAACCCCTTCTGATATAATCAAAATAAATCATTCAATTAGATTTTCATCACAGAACAGTTGTTCACTAATATATATATTTTGTTCAATCTTGATAGTATTTTGCTTTTCTATAAAATATTTATTTAGTAAAGACAAAGATCATCCTCGTCATTCATTTATATTAGTTAGTTAAATCCATTAAATATCAGTGAATATGGTTGGTTCTGTGGTCCGGAGGTTAAGCGTTCACGTGCGAGACCGATAGGTCTTGAGTTCGAATCTCACGAGGCGGGACCGTGGATGCACACTGTTGAAGAGTTTCACAATTGGAAAAAACGGTCATCCAGTGTTTCCAGGTTTGCTATGATGGTCTAGCTTTAATTAACTCATGATCTCAACTATTAACATATGATTGTATTCACAAATTGCTCATATCATCTACATAATTCGAATGGTAATTAATTACTTCATTAACCAGCAATGTAATGATTATCAATAGGGAAATGAATCAGTCAAGTTGATTAATTATTTTGAATAGTGATTATCTACTCTGAAATAACCACTAGAATTGATAGATAATACAGATCTCTTTCTCTCCTTCTCTGTTTGGTACAATATTAAATTGATTGAGTTGCTAAAGAAAATTAGGGTTTAAAATCCTGTTTTAGTAGAGTAGGTTTTATTTATTTATTTGAACACATAAATATTGGTACTAATACACACCGAATAGATATGCACCACACAAGTCACTTGATTTATGTGTGGGCTGTGATACTGCCCGGGTGCCCAAACTGAAGCAGGTGGTTTTCTTAGGGGGTTACACCAGGAGCGTTCGACCCAAAGGTCTGATCCATAAGACAGTAAGGTGGCGTCAGGAGATTCAGTCATATGGTAGCCAGTGACTAACGATTGGTTCATATACCATTTGTTCCTTCAGGATACTGGAGCCCATGTGCACCATTAGTTTGGAATCACGGTTTTCCAACTGCCCTAGGTGGACCCACCATATCCACCTACCCGGTCAAAGCACCGAACATTCTCTTCTGGTCCTTTCAATTTCGTAAACAAAACCCCCGTCGCGAGAATGTAGTGAGTAAGATTTCCCTGTCAGTGGCTGTGTGTACGTGGCCATGTGTTATGTCCCGATAAGCATAATGAATGGTAACTTTTCGGATCCATTTATGGACCAATACTATACTTATATTTTTATCGTATATTTTATCTTACATTCATGTCTCTCTTATCATGAGCTTTATTTTGACCTATGAATTGTTATTATACGATTTACCATTCTTGAATTATGCCCTGTCTATTAATTACTACCACCCTTATGCACAGCCACATTTGGCTAATTCTTGTACAAATGTTGTTTCATATTTTATGGTACGGTGTGGTCTGTCTGGTTGGTATATAAACCCAGTATGTTTGAAATAAACGACTCATATCACAGAGGCTGAAATTGGTGTTCTGGACTTGACTGGCTGGGCTAGGCGGAAAGCAGGACCAAACAGGACTCTAGACTGCTCTCATGTGTTTTATGCGTCCTTGGTCCGATCGATAATTCACTGCTCTCTAATTGGAGGTATCATTACGAATACATTAGCGGGGCACACAGGCCACAAGTTATAACACCATGTGAGAGCATTTCGAGAAGGAGAGCTAACTCTCCCCTTTCTCGACCGTACCACGGCATTTGGGGGCACATATTTGTAGACCCAAGTTGCCTTGCCACATCATAACAAAATAAAAGTTTAAATTGGAAAATCAGAGTAATGGTTCAATAACAATTATTATTATTATTATTATTATTATTATTATTATTATTATTATTATTAGTAGTAGTAGTAGTAGTAGTAGTAGTAGTAGTAGTAGTAGTAGTAGTAGTAGTAGTAGTAGTAGTAGTAGTAGTATTACCAACGGTAAAGCATATTAGTTTTGGAGAATATGACCCGAGAAGAAAGAACTAGTTCACAGAATAAAACGTTTAAAACCATTTTGAAACTGAAAATAAAGAGGATGATAACGAATAAATTTATCTGTACAACTGCAGTTGATTTTACGTCATGTCATCTATTGTCGCTAACTCTCAGTTGCGACAGCCGAGTGAACGCTAATTAGGTAGTCCAGGTCTGCTAACATAGTTCAGTCTTACAGTTAATTATTTTACGAATTGATGATATCTTTTGATATGACCGTCTCTAGCTATGCCTAACAAATTGAGGTTTCAAGTTAAGGGTAGTTAGTGCAATATTTATATATATATATGATATGGAGTGAAGTAGTTGAGCGTGTCGACCGCTTCACTTATCATGAGAGTCACATCAGCCCTTGTGGTCTGGTGTGTGACGAAGTCTCAGCACGGATGCAGAAGGCTCGACTAGCTTTTGCCGACTTGCATGACTTATGGCGTAGGCGAGATATCCGTCTACCAACCAAATGAAGGGTTTACTGTGCAGCAGTTCGTTCCGTCCCACTTTATAGTAGTGAAACATGGCCGGTAAGAGTAGAGGATATCCGTAGGTTACTAGTATTTGATCATAGGTGTCTTCGAAATATTGCTCGTATATCCTGGGACCATCGAGTAAGTAACGCAGTTGTTAGGAAACGGGTACTAGGTAAGGATGGCAAATCAATTGATAACGTAGTGAAACTTCATCAGTTGAGATGGCTGGGACACGTGTTACGTATGCCCAACCACCGACTGCCTCGACGAGCGATGTTCAGTGGTATAGGAGTAGACTGGAAGAAAGGTAGGGGCGGTCAGACCAAAATATGGCACAAATCCATGATGTCACTGACAAGTGGACTGAGCCATGTTGGTAGGTGTAGACTACTTGGTTGGGATCCGCGAGAAGATAGCAATCGATGGTTAGAGACCTTGAATGACATGGTTCAAAATCGTTAGCAACGGCTCAGGTGCATCGACTCTTTGTGTTCTCCCAAATTCTAATCTTCTGAACTCTTCATGTCCTTTTTTGTCTCTTTCCAAATTTATTTCACTAGATTATACTGCTTGAATAACATCTTCAGACCCTAATCTTTCCGATTAGTGCATATACTGTTACTACCTTTACCATTGTGAGATTTGAATCGACAAATGTATCTCTGTGCTAATGTGGTATAGCAACTTGAACTGATGTACGTACGTACGTACGACGTTCTACGTTGTTACTGACCAACTCTAAACATATATTTCGAATAATGAAGAAGTAATTTTAAAAAATAACTAACTTGTATAGCTTGTTGAAAGTGTTGGCAAGCTTTTTGATAATCTCCTTCGCGATAGAATAAACATCCAAGATTAATAATTGAATCAATATCACCAGAATGATTTTGTTCAACTATACTACGTGAACCAGATAAATCACCTTCACCATAATGTATAGCAGCATTGAGTTTGTTAAGTTTTTCCTTAAAATTTGGATCTTCAATTTGAGCTGCAGCCTTTTTTTGTAAAAAAGAAAAAGAGGGAAGAACACAGTTTATAGTAAATAAATGGTAAACATATTGATCCGAGATAATCAAGAGATTTATACAATAACTGTTGACATCGTACTTGATGCAGTGTATAGAGGTCTTAGATTCAAACCTGTTTAGAGTTCTGGATGCGTGGACACTTGAACTCAGAATATTCGACCACAACAAACTTAACTTCACTCTTTTTTAATTAGTCTCCGCATGAAATCATTTCATGGTGAAAGCTACTGTTTTATAAATGTAAGATGTAAGACATGTGTTTCTCCAAGTATCTACATTTCTTCTAACAAGCTCTGAGTCTTTGAATTCATCCAAATCAATAATAAAGTACTTAATCTGTAAGTTATACCATTTAGTTTTAGGAGATGTATAGCGATATGGCTTTAACATATGTAACTCATTAAATTTAGAAACCACAATCTTGAAAATTGGGATAAATTAAACTAGTCTTTCAAAATGACATTAAATTGATATAGGTTTGTAGAGAGTGTTGAGTTTTTTTAATTGAAACCATGAACTGATCTATATTAGACAGCCGTTGCGAACCTGGAAGCACTGGACAGCCTTTTCTTCTTGATGCGGGACTCCTCGATAGTGTGCATCCATGATCCCGCGTACGGGACTCAAACCCAGGACCTTCGGTATCTCTCGAACGCCTAACTTCTAGACCACTGAATCGGTATCTGGCAGTGCTAATGTTTGATCTTAATCGACACACACACTTGAGCAACCTTTCATCCATTGCTTGTGGTGGATAACTATCTCACACGCGATATGGTTGAACTCCACTGGTCACTAGTGACCAGCTTCGAGAGGTAATCTTTGCATTCCTAGTGAGAGGCCGTGACTAGTGGAGTTCAACCGTGTCAGTTGTCAGGCAGTTACCCGTCGAAGACAATCGAAGATGGTCGCGCAATATTGTGGAGTTATTGAAGTTAGACATTAACACCCGTCGATACCGGCTTAGTGGTCTAGAAGTTAAACGTTCGACAAAGACCGAAGGTCCTGGGTTCGAGTCCCGTGTGCTGGATCGTGAATGCACACTACCGAGGAGTCCTGCATCAAGAATAAAAGGCTGTCCAGTGTTTCCAGGTCTCCAGTGGTGGTCTAATATTGATCAGTTCCTGATCGCAATTGAAAAAATCAGTAACAGAATCTGAATGGAACAATAATTTTGATTGATGGATTAGGATTTTATTCAGTTTCTCCATTGAGATTGATTATAAGTCAATTGCAATGACAATCTCATCTAGCTGCGTCAACAGAGTGCGACAACGTGAATCGATGTGTACACATGCTAGGTTCTACTTCGCGTTTTACTGACTGACCGAAATATTAGAATCTGATATCTGATAAATTAAATTCACAAACCCTACTGGCATGAAAGGTTGGCCATACAGATTAATCCCATACACCATCTCGACCACGTTGACTGAATCTTCTTTGTATGTCAAGATCATACTGTGGCAGAGACCATTTTTATGCATCAATAATGTCTACTTTAACTACTTCAGCCTCAGTCTTGAGGTTATTCTATAACTCTAAAAAATAAGAGCAGTGATTTCTGCAATGTAAATTGAACAAAAATTCGCCGGGAAGAAATATATTCCTGTGTTTTTAAGTATATTTACTGACTGAAACTATCGACCATCTATATAAACAACATGTAGAAAGGAGGATGGTGTTACTGATGCCAATGGATAAAGTGGAGGAGTATCTGCTAAAACACACAATTGATACCTAGTTTACGTTGAACGACGAACTCTACTGACAATTAGCATTTGGAACAATCCTAGGCCCAGTTTTTACCTGCATATTTTGTTGGTAACTTGGAGAATGGACGGATATATGACACTCTTAACAAACTGGAATACTGCTCCCGTTACATGGATGATAAAGCAGTTATCTGCAACAAAACGAACAAAATACAAGAACTCTTAAAAACACTTATTAATACATATCTGTCGATTATACTTGTTTGTTGAGAGAAAACGTGATAACCGTTTAGCACTTGTCGACGTTATTTTTTGAAAAGGTCGAACAATTTGGTAAAAAGTAATAAATTTGGAATGGTAACTCGAACAGTGCAATATATCTGCTACCATAGCTTCATATATCTCCAGTATAAAATTTGTCTAGTTGAATCTCTGAGTCACAAAATCCGAGGACTACGTCCTCAGGATATCATATAGGAAGAGTTAAGCAATCCAAGGGTAATGCTACTAAAAAATGGATACCCTGATGATTTCATAATGAAATGAATAACTAAACCTAAAAGTAAAAGACGGACTTTCACAGCTAAAAAGTGAACTCTATATCTAAGGCCTGATTTTAAGTGATAAACGAGTAAAATCCTAATCTGTTGAATAAGCAGTTTCACTAAAACAACTCTCAAGATATATGTCACTTTCTCAATAAATCCATTGCTGACGCAGAAAATTAAGGATAAGTTGCCTATATTGGGTTTACTTGTATGTGTTTATTAATTTGGCTGCTCCAGTGGGGCCAATTATATTAGCCGTACTCAATGATCCTTATCCTTAGGTGATCGTGGAAATGCACCGACACAGTTGCGAAAACACTTTGTGAAGTCTATTAACAATGCCACCCTTTTCTAATTAATTGACTATGGACATAACATTAACATCAAAAATGCCTTCTCAATTATACATCAAAATCCTAGTACTCAACCGAAAAACTAACGATTATTCTCACGTTATGTAGCTGGAGCAATTAGTGTCGATTCAAAAAAACCTAATTTGTACATACAAAAAGATACACATAACCCTTTTGTTTACAGCAGCCTGTATTAGAGTTGCTCTATTCTTATTGCTAACTATATCCCTTCTATATTCATTATGACGTTTGCTCTTTTTCTTCAATGCTCTTCGTTCTCAAACATTCTATGATGATTTTTGAACATATTCGTGTTGTAATAAACAATGCGTAAAAGCCATTCTTAAGTAGATTTTGCCTGCCAGCATCTTAGAAATAAAAACTGGTCCAAAATAAAGCCCTCTAAGATTTACTGCTACGTTTTGAAATATCAAATGGATTGAAAGGAATACAGGTATGGGCCATACATCTTATACACCTTATTTATGACAAACCGTTCACCAAGAATATGTGTTACAAAGCCAGGTTTTATTCAATTCACTTATGTTAAACTCATTGATACTACCCAGATGCCGTAGTTGGAGTAAAAATATCATGTTTATACTTACAATCTAGTAATTGTAAACCAAACCCACAAACAAATAATCTTTCAATCTATATAAAAACAAGAATTTTTAATGAGATCTGGAAAATGTATAAATTTCTAACAGTTGTTCATAACAACTTTTATGTTCATCATCTCGATAAAATAATCCTGAAAAGTTTAATGAAAGGGCATGAACGAAGCTCATTTACATGTAAATCTCAGTCACTTTCATTTTAATCACATCGTGTGTTTAAGAAAATAAGATCTTGCTAAAATATGCATTTTAAAAGACTACTTAAATTATCTGCTAAATATCTTATAAGTCGTGAGTTATAGGCTTATTTGATCTTTTAATTGAGTATTGAAGAATAACCCCATTAATTCTCACCAGTGTGTGCAGAGTGATGATGTGTAAATATTTTCATTTTGAGACTGAACAAAAAGTCAACTAAACATATTTATAAAATGATCTAAAAAATTATACGGCAGTTGATGGTTATGATATTGTTTATTCTCAGTTCTGTGGTAGACCAAAAGTATAATAACCAAAAATTAGCGATAAAGTTATCACGTCCAAAAGTTAATGTAACAATAACAATTTGTAAATTAGTAACACAAAATAAAAGTTCAAGGACGTTACCTAAATCAGTTAGTTGTTGCGTATTCTCCACAGTTCTCTGATGGGTCAAAATTTAAATACAAATACGAAAACAGTAAAACGTATGCTGTTGTATGCGTTACCTCTTCTGATATGGTTTCATACATACAAGTCACATTTATGGGCAGGTTTTAAGTGTAGTTAGGATTCTCCAGTTTTCAATAACTTCGGAATTTACATCCAAATCTGCCACGCAAGGATTCGTAAAATAGTTTGACATAACCAGATTAATACAATAAATATTTGTTTAGGTCCCTTTCAGTATCATTCTGTTTACATATAACTAAGTCAACAGCTAACCAAAATTAGATCGTACCCATTTTATTGTAAAACTTCTCATCTCCGCTGAGATATGAAAACTCAGTACAACAGTGATGACTCATAACTTTACGTTCAATGAAACTGTGGGGTATGAAGCTATGTTATCTTAACGTATTCCATTGTAGACCTAATATAGTGTGGTATTTGTAAGAAATAATGATTCGTTGCACTTGATGGCTCGGTGATTACGAGTTACAAATATAATACGTTATTTTTTGTGCACATCTAGCTCTACCTGCCAAAATCGCAATAGCTCGCGGGTTCTTAGTTTGCACATTAATTTGATTACTTTTAATTATAATTAAAAGTATTCGAACAACTCTATAGAGATATGATAATCAATTGTCACATAGAAGTACTTACTTTAGTCGCCGCTTGAAACAAGTCTGCTTTATACAGCGATTGAGCGAAATAAAACTTATATTCTTCTATATCAGGGAAATGTTGAGTCAGTTGTTCGTAACAATCAGAAGCACTAACAAAATCTTGTAGCTGATAAAAGCAATAACCGAGTAATGAAAGTGCAGCTCGACTGCTTGGATGGACGAGGAGTTGTTGATTTAACATGTTCACCGCTTCTTTATATTTCTGATCTTTAATCGCACCATATATAGCAGCCGTGAATTCCCCTTCTTTAAGTTTCATGATTTTGTATGCGCGAAAGCGGAGTTGCTATGGTCATAAATATAAACAAGTCTGTATAGCTTGTCCATTGATCATACTGTTCTCTCCATTTAGAACCTGCTCGTTAGCCTATTCATAATTAAGAAGCGAACAATTATTATCTGCAAACTAATTTGCATTCTGTTTTCGGGTTCAACCGTCTTTGGAAGTGAAAACAAAGCATTTCCTATTCATAACGAATCCTACTTGATACAGACAAGTACTGTTAATATTTTTACTGTAAAGATAATATAACGTTTATCACTGATCAGATGAAGCAGCAGGATGAGAAAGCGAGAACATTCCGGGAGGACCAACAAATCTATATCAATGGCTGGTTATCTTACCGAACCCTTGTTTTATTCTGGAACAACTGGACTATCCTCTGACTCCACTAAAATGCTCGACACTTTACCACATACGGCATTTTTAGAAAAGGTTCTTTTCATTGATCCTGTCTTTTCTTTGTTTGGAAAGTAATTGGGCGACAATTAATACCAACTATACTAAACTAAACTTTTGTGAACAGAAGAGATCTGACTTTTGATACCGGGCAAAAAACAGTTTTCAGTTTCATTTTCCATGATCTCCCCAAAACACAAGGTTCATCATTCTCTATTTGTTGCAATGACGTCAGAAACTAGAAGTTAATCTCTGCTAAAATTAAATAATCATATTCTCCTAAACGTCCAGAGATACTTAACATAGTTATGACTATTTAAAGTTATTAAAAGCAAAACAATCGACTCTGGGGGTTAATTTTCAGTTACTGATACAATTATGTTTGGATATTTTCCCTATCCCTGAAATCCGACCATGAACTACCAACAATAGCTGCTATTAGAGCCAAAAAAATGATGATATTGGCATCGAAGATGGAGGGTTAATGTGGTCCTTCATGGATAGCGGCGCTTAAGTTACAATCAAACCCAATATGATTGTAAGAAAAGGATTTACCAACTCGTTTTCTGGCGTTAGTGAACGAATGAATACTTTCCGTTACTACAATCGAGACAGAAATAGCGTCGCAAACATATAAACTTGTGGGATGTCGATGTAGAGGTGGTGATGGCTAGCGACTTTACTACTCGCAGCACATGGCCAGTGAGACTGATTGGTAATTGGAAGTAGATTAAGATGTTCTAGTAAGGACACTGATAGTCTGTATGAAGGAAGAGGTTGTAAGAAGAGGTGTACGATAGCTTTGTCTTCTGAAGGGGGCCAAATAACTGCATGTTTAAGGTCGTTTATGAATATACAAGTGCACTCTTGTCAGTTCTGCACTACTCATTGACGTATAAAAGTTCTCTAGGATAGCCATGATTGAAGGAGTTTGGAAATGTCTTTACGTAGCTGGTGACCAGTGTAGTGGATGGAATACTCCAAAGTTCCGTCGAAAGTGTTTCACTTGACAGCAATGTTATTTGCTTTTTTCTTTTTCCTTATCTTGCGTTGTTAATTTTATATGGAACTCATATGACTTCGTTTTGTATTCTTCGGCCATATCTGTCTTTACTTTCATTGTTGACTAGACAGAGATTTATCTTCACTATGTAATTTTACTGATGCATATTGCTGTTTCAGTGACAATAACACCGTTTTCGGTTAAAGCCATGGTCCATCCTTTGGTTGTTAATTTTGAGTGCATGTTGGAAAAGGTTACTAAAATTCCTGCAATGGATATTTGATCACATCTACTTACATATTCTCAGGCACTGAACATTTATTTATAAACCATTCTTATGGCTGTTTAGCACGTCATTTTGCGTTAGATATAACCTTGGCTATATATATTATAACGTGTACAGTTTAAGGTATATTGTTCTCTCTATATGGTATTTTCTTTTTAAAATCAGAACCGTTCGAATGGAGTGCAGATTTAATGTTTTATTTGACTTGGTACCAGTCATCCAAAAACACTTCGTACGCTATACAGTATAACGCAGTTTGATATGAAGAACCAAAATCAGGTTCGTTAGCTCTTTATTCGGACCAAATACTGGACTCGCTGGTCGCTACATCTACGCTCTGTAGACTACGTCCCGAAGATCGTCAGTGCATCACTTATCATCAATTCAGTTATTACCACAATATCATTTAAAGAGGATGTTAAGCATGAGGTACACGGATAAAGGGGGTACCTGAATAGTATGCTGGTGCAGGTATAAAGCCCTTCTCTTAATCTTTGTTCAGTCAACCGTTAAAGAGTACAAGTTTCTTGCCAAAGACGAACAATCGCAATGGGTGTGATACAGTTGAAGAGACATATTTCTAAGTGCTTATGGATAATACCCTTGATAGATCAGCAGTTGAACATAGTACACTAAAGCGAATGGATGAGAAGGTTAACTTAATAATCAAAGGGAGAATGAAACTAATGTCATATGGTGTGTACGTTGGAGGGAATGTTCCTATGCACAATTATGCACACAAACGGGCTGCAATTAAACGCAACTCAATTTCGTATATGTCCCCTTCAGCTTAGCAACTAATCAGAATGAGGCGGGAATCATTATACCCTCCATCTTTGCAGGCAATGGCGGTCGGCTTTCTTCGTTCTGTGCTTTTTTCGGACATTTATTTGTGTAGCTATGTAATTTAATGTTTCAGTGTGCTAAAATGCTACAGTTAGTGTAATGTTCTACATGTAGGTGTGAAATTTATTTAGAATCAGCGATGTTTTCTGGGTTTTTGCTGTTTCTACCCGAGTCAATGTATTTCTTCAGGCAACCTGGCTAGTCTTGTGTTATAAAATGTCGGCTGGCTTTCTTGGTTCTGTGTTTTTTCCGCTATTTCTTTTGTGTAGCAACAGAATTTGATGTTTCAGTGTGCTAAAATGCAGAAGTTAATGTAATACTCTAAACGCTGGAGCAAAATTTTTCCTGATTTTGCTTTGTTTTCTGGGCTTCCCTGCTACTACTGGAATCACTGTATTTCTTCAGCTAAGCTTGTTAGTACTAACATAGGACCTTATGTTTTAAAATGATAATCGGTTATGTTTTACCTTGTTTTCCAGATATCCAAAAGCGAAGTTCGTTTTATTTATCTAAAATAATTATTGCTGCCGCCTGTTACTCTAACTGATCGCTTCTTCGTTCCTAACCGTCCTTTACGATGTTATCGGCAAAATGAAAGGAAACAGTCTGCGGTTTTTAATTTTCTTCAATATTATGGGCAACACTATCCCACCAACGAGTCAAACTAATACTGAGTACCCAGCAGTATGGCATATCAGTATTGATTTCTAAAGGACCCAGACTTCCGGCAACTATAGATGAAGTCGCAGACGCTACCAATCTATTGCAGAGGGTTTGTTATAAAAAATATGCCATATAGCAGTAATAGACGAGTTGTACTCATTACGTAGTGCGTTAAAGCAAGCTTAACATTGAAAAGCCGGAAATCTGCCACCAGTGTGTAGTGTATGTTTGCTGTTTTGGCTATAAAAGTAAGCCGAAGGGTCATGATCAGGGAGTAAAAAGGTAATTAACTGTTATTAAGCTGACTTTTTCATAGATCATATTTCACCACTCGCAAATTTGTTTTTTTTTACAGTATGATGTCAACGGTACCTAATATGTTCACACTTATGATGAAAAGTACCTGCAAATTTTCACCTTCATATTCGCATTATTTTTGGACAACGGTCTTCCAGTTTGAGTGCTTCGTACGCCCTGAGAGACTAGATTCCTACATTATTCGTAGTTCCAGTATAACTTTCACGCAGTAAGTTCAAATTAGACTCTAGTCTTTCTAAATAAGCCTGTTAAGCTAATATCTGTATTCTCTATTTCAGTTAATCGATGAAGACATGTACCATGTGCATATGCTGTATACTTCTATTTTACTCTAATTCTAACTGTCATATATTCTGAAAAATAAAATCGCTATATGCAGCAAATACAGACTTATTTGTTTTGATGGAGATAAGGGGATTCATGGGATTTTTAGCAGGACCGTGGTAATATTCTTACTCAAAAGCTAAGCGAGTGCGTAGACGAGTGTAAGGTACCATACGGGGTGCATTTGAGTTACTAATGTTCCATTAGTGTGGGTAGAGGCATTGCTTGCTTATCATATGGCATTTGAATAAGAAGCTATGAGACTAGACGCAAGTACGATTAGGATGTGTAACGCGTGTCCATCCGTCATCTGCCGTGACAACTCGTGGTGGTTAGAATTAATTATGAGAGGACCCGAGTCTATAGGTTTCCCAAGAAAATGACAAAGACATTTACTAAGTCACTTAGATTTACTACATACGAACTAGGTGCTGAGAGGCTTGTGTGTCACATGTTTCTTGCAACGATTAAGCAGTTAAAACAAAGTAGCATTAGATTTAAAAATTTATTCAGGAACTTTCATTAAAAGTCGAATATCAAACAAAGGTTTAAACGAAGTTCCCGCCTAAAAGTTGCATTGATAATGTCAAGCTGCAGTCTTTGTTGTTTTTTCTTCAAACTAAAGTGTAAAAGAAGTAACAAAAAGGTCAAATGATGCATACTGGTGGAAGCTGTATATTTATTTGAAGACATATTGCAAGAATTGACATAGGTCAACAAGATTGAAGACTGAAAACTGCACAAGAACATAAACAATATATTGGACGTTGAGTCCATATCGACCTTGACTTTGATCATCAAGATCAGAAATGAGTGCAACAGCTTTGCTGATTCTGTCTGAGGGAGCTGAAGAGATAGAGGCGGTGACTGTTGCTGATGTACTGGCTAGAGCAGGAGTAAACGTTACTGTCGGTGGACTTCAGGGCGATGGAGTGGTTAAGGGAAGCAATGGTGTTTGCATAAAGCCAAATGTTTCACTTTCCAGCGTTTCATCACAACTTTTTGATTTGGTAGTAATGCCAGGTGGTATGGGTGGTTCCAATGCTATGGCGTCATCGAAATTAGTTGGTCAAATACTTAAAGAGCATGAAAAACACGGCAAATACATTGCAGCAATTTGTGCTGCACCGATCGCCCTGGAATCCCACAAAATCGCCATAGGAAAAAAGCTGACATCTTATCCGGGCTTTGAGGATAAACTTCCGAGTTATACATATTGCGAAGACAAAGTTGTTGTTGATGATAAACTTGTTACAAGTCGAGGTCCAGGAACTGCGCTGGCTTTTGCAATGAAGCTAGTTGAATTACTGTGTGGCAAGTCGAAAGCTCAAACGCTAACAAAAGGCATGCTTGTTTCACTTTAAGACATTTAAACTTTCCGGTTCTTCTGCTTTTGTTCCATCATATTAGATTTGATAAACTACATGCCCATTCGAAATACTTTCGTACATTCTTTCAAATAAATTTCAATAACTACTGTGTAATTGTTCTATTCGCTTTATTGTATTTGGATAGAAAAATGTCGTGAGATGTTATTAGGTTTTTATTATCTATGATAGTACACAAATATAGGTTGCGCTGCAATATTCACCTTGTAGAAATAAATATGTTAAACCGCGTCCATCGATGTCGAATTATGATCCATTTCGTCTGTTTTTAGACTATCCACGCTTTTATGATTGGTCCCATATATTACAATGTAAGCTCTTAAAAAGTCTTGTATGACTACTGTTGCTACTTCAAGTAGTATATCAGTGCGACCCCATGATCTCCAGCTGGCACATACGAGAACGGTCACTGTTGGGAAATGAATAAGTAACGTTTGCTTAGGTATATCAGATAACAGTCATGGACTAAGTGAGTATCCCAATAATTAGTTCAAGCTTTCAGGATATGTATGAGATCACTAAACTTAATCAGGAATCTTGATGCAACCTGGCCTTTGCTTCTTAGTATGTCGATATTTTATAAGCATTTGTCACAGTAGAGGTGATTAATGTAGTTCCCAACATGCCTGTTTGGGAGTTTGTACACAACTTATCCCCAATCTTGATTGTCTTCCATGTATTTAGTCAGGGAGTTGTTGGATATAAATATTTGTATACTGGGTGGTTTTCACATAAGCATTATCCGCTACCTCGAAATCCGTTAACAATGATTTGGGACTAAATTAGGACCTTGTTGAAATCACTATAACAACTAGTGTCTATTAAAGATGCTGCTTACTACCTTATCGTTGATTAGTGTAAGACGTACAATATCCCTAAAATCTGGTACTAGGCAAAATCAACCTGCATTAGTCTTAATACTTTCGGAAAAACAGTAGAATTAGTTTGGTTTATTACTTTCATGAGTGAGAGGATAAAGGATGAAGATCTTAGTTACTACACACATATCTTTATCCATTCTAACAAATGGTTCCCTGACTATCTTGGCACAGATATTGAGGGCGCAAGACTCACTTTGTAATCTAAGATAGTACCATTATACCCTCTCCCTAGTAATTGACGTTTAGGTATGCAACACGAATTATCTTCCCATTATATTCTGTAATTGTACAGGTTGATGATGCTTCAGCTAGATTTTGACAATGAGCTTCACCCATCCTGACCACCATATAGACGATCTTTAACGAGACGTAGATTCTCAAGCAAAATAACAACCTCTGAGTTCTTTGTAACTTCGTTTGGTCAGTGTCCAAGCAAGACTCCCCAAGTATCGTCCCACTCATTCTAACTCCCGACTTATTAGTGAATACCCTGAGTAGACAAAAACAGGACAGGCAATTACTTAAACTTCTTCATGGAATATGAGAACACGGGTTCTACTCAGCGTACGAACAAATCACGTCAAAACTAAGTACAGACCCGTGATGAAGAAAATCTGAACACAGGGTTATAGATAGTAAAGCAGCAACCTCTACGAATAAATACTCCAACTAGAGCTAAAAATGGTAAATAGATCAAACACCTCTAGCATGACGATAAGCATAATATACCCCAGTCGGCCTTATGATCATATTCTCATCACTCACTAATAGTCGTACCAACTTTATTCGGATTGTTGTCACTTACTATATGTGAGGTATTTGGTTATTTTTCCATTTTTCTTGCCCCATCATTATGTAAAATTTCTTAAGCACGTTTATTGGTGGGAAGCGTTACAATCTAGTAAAATTGCGTCATTTGAAATAAGTCACACAACTCAGCAGTATGTAGAAACTAGTATATTAATATCCGACAAATAAATGTCGACGTCCGGATTATTCGTTAATACTCGCGGAACAGTAGGTCTTTACAGTTCGGTATGTACCACTCCACAACAGTGGTTCAGTCATTTGATCAGTAGAATTAGTTTGACTGTTATCATCTCATTTAGATAAACTGGATAACGATAGATTGGTGCTTTACAACAGTAAGTACTTGTCAGATGAACAAATCGGATGCTAGACAGTTTTTTAACGGTTAATATCAGGTTACTATATACCCCTCTATCATGAAATAGAGAAAGTCGTGCGGATGGATGGTAAATTTTCATGGAATAGTTTGGACGTTCGATAGTTATTGCTGTAGAATTTAAGCTCTCAGAAGCTTTTATTGTATCCAAAGCAGATTAAATTATTAGTAACTCTTAAGTTATTTACGGGCTCTTATTACATATATATATATTCTTATTTATAATTATTAAGCAATTAGACTACATATATCTATATCTTTCATCGTAGGCTTTCATTTGACTTACTGGCCACTATTATAGAATTTTCGATTTATCATCAACCTATCAGTTACAGTTACTTATATTCAAAGCCACTTTCAGTTTTCTTTTGTATAATAATTATTTTTTTCATTTTATGGTGTGATGCGGTCTGGTCTGATTGTATATAAAGTATGTTATTCATATAGTGGAGGCGAATATTATGTTTTGGACTCAACGGACAGGGCTAGGCGAGAAACTACTACAATGTCGAGGACCAATAAAGAGTTGATTCAAAGCTGTTAGTGCTGGTTGATGTGTCATTGGTTTAGCACATGGACAAGATCATAAAATCCGATATTCAGATCGGCGATTTCGTCACCTTTCTACTTCTAACGATACAGCTGGAAGGTAGTGACCATTTAATAGGATTCCTAAAAGACTGGATATTCTGAAATAACATATGAACCGTTTAAAAAATCTAGTGCCTAGTAACATCTAACGCGAATATTTGAGAGCGTGGTTTAGAATTTGACGTTGTTTGATGTTCCGATTTCCTAAACTCCGTAACACGAATATAGTTATGATTATTAGTTCTAGAACAGTCCGGAATCGAGCCAAGTTTTGTATATGACCATTGAATGTTATCGTAATTCACAAAAACATCGACCTTTACACTACATGATAGCTCGTCAGTTAAATACGTTACCGATTCAAACATTTGACTTTCTCGTACTACTTAGCTCAAGTTAGAAAAGGTATTAGTATTGCAAGTCCTCAACTAACAGTTTTAAAATTATACTGCTGCTTATCGGAGCTATGTATATATCAGCTTACGAAAGAAAGCCAAACTGTATGTACATTAGTATTATTTGTTTTTATAATATTAAAATACAAAATATGAAAATAATAACTATTCTCCTTCTCGTTGAGCCAACTTCCCATAACCACCTCGTTCGGCATCATAATCTTTGCGGAATTCATCCCGTACCTATAGTTATTAAAAAACAGCACATTAGCATATATCGTTTTCTCTTATCAAGACTGACAATTGGTATGAATTTCAACATAAAACTAGTGTACAATACCGCCCACATGAACTAAACATTAAAATTTGATTGTAATCAAGAAAAATCACTAGCAGATTGCTTTTAGGCACAAAAATTACATAAAAAAAAGTAGTTTCGACTTTAAAGGAGTTTAATACTATTTAGGAATACGGTTAAACAATAACAAGTTTCAAACTACCGAAAAAGTTTGGTAGTCTCATGATGTCCAAGAGTTATACTCCAACTGATATCAGATCGCTGTTAAAGCTATTCTTTTCAACTAACCGAAGCATGATAAATTACTCGGAGAATATTATTGATATAAGACCAGATAGGTAATGCTTAGTTTTGCCCCAAAAATCCAACTTGCTGTACTGGAATTTCTGCATCGATATTACTTATAATATTAGCTCCATGGTATGGATGATTAATAGAAATGTTTATTAGAAGCACAAGAATATAATCAGTATTACAGCGAAATTTGATTAGAGCCAGACTGAGTAGCTTGTCCTAAGAAAGGCAAAAGTTAATAGTGTGGTGCATATATTTCATACACATAGTTCCCTTTATTATCTTAAAGAGAGCAAGAACAAAGATTAGTGCAGAATAATATGAATTCATTTTATTTCGTTAGGTTCTCATCAGCTGCTTACAACCTGAATTATTTGAAATTCAAAATTATTACATATACTGACATATTTATACATAAGATGGTGATTAAAGATGAATAAATGTATCATGGTGTAGCGAAGATTTCGATAGAGTTAATGAGGTCATAAAATTTTTGTCTCGAATAAATAGAGTTTGAGAGGGAAAGTTCCAGAACATTGAAATAGTGATTAGAACTCATGAAAATAGAATAATGGTAATAAAGAAAATATGAATTAAAATCAGTCAGTTATGTCTGATGTAATTTGAAAGAGTTGGAGTAATGACGCAATAAATAAATAGAGAAATAAATGAATAAAAAAGGGGGGTTATTGTTACCAGGGTAAAGAAAGATTTATTACTGTCTCTTTTTGTATACATAGATCTGGTTTCAGACGTTTGATTGCTATTGCTTCGGCAAATTTCAAGAGGTTGGAGTTTGATTGTTTGTTAATCACCTTGAAGGACTTCAGTATATCAACTTCATGTCCTGTGTCAAGATGTCTTGCGATGGCACTGCTGAATGTTTTTAATCCATTTAATCTTAAACTTTTCGGAACATGTTCTTTGAATCGGACGTAGGCTCTTCTTTCTGCTCTACCAATGTAACTGCTTTGGCAGATACATGTAAATTTGTATACACAGTTGGTGGTAACATGAAAGGGATACCTGTCGACCTTAGATTGTGTCAAAGAACATGTTGTTTTGGACAGGACAATCAATTTTGTAACAAAGACTTAACTGATTCCATTGAGAAAAGAATCACCGAAGTACTCAGAGATCTGAAAAAGAAGATGATCGATAACTCTACTTACAATAATCTACGACCTCGTGGGTCTCGTTTGCCCCACATCTATGGATTACCAAAAATACATAAACAAGGTTATCCTCTTAGACCTATTTTGTCAATGATCAATTCACCATACCACAAAGTTTCACGATGGTTGGCAGATAAGTTAGAACCAGTGCGTCAACGATTAGCCACCTATACACTAAAGGATTCATTTGTATTTCCTGACAGCATGAGTAACGTAAATATTGCTGGTAAGTTTATGGTTTCTTTTGATGTAACATCATTGTTTAAAAAATAGCACTTCTTGAAACCAAAGACATAATTTTTCAACATTCTGACATCCTACCTCTACCAGTACCAGAATTCAAACAACTATTACTCATTTGTACAGATGATGTTCAGTTCCAGTTCGACGATATCATATACAAACAAACCGACGGTGTAGCAATGGGAAGTCCGTTAGGTCCTGTCCTAGCAAATATTTTCATGGCTAACCTCGAAAGAACCAAACTCAAACGAGCGATTGATGAAATGACGTAATATTCGAGGTATGTTGATGATACCTTCATCGTATGTAATAATCAACGACATGCAGTAAATCTGCTCAAGTTTTTCAACGAAGCCCATCCAAATATCCATTTCACTATGGAACATGAAAAAGAAAACAAGTTCCATTTTCTCGATATCGCGATGAAGCGAAGAAAGGACGGTACAGTTCAACGTTCAGTTTATAAGAAAGACACATGCAATGGAAGTTATTTCAATAGCTTTTGTCCAATCAGTTACAAAAAGGCACTGGTCAAAACACTGTTTCACAGAAAAGAAAGAATATGTACTTCCGATACCTTAGAAGAGGAAGTTATGAATGTTAAAAAATGTTTAAAGAATAACGCATACCCACTGAAATTTATTAAGAAATATGGCAAACGTGAAGATAAAAAAAACCCAAAGAAATTAGCAAATAAAAAGCCTATTTTTATTCAACTTCAATTCAAAGGTGACAATGTCACAGGATCAATCAATATCAGACTAAAAACTGCACTGACAAGAACTTATCTTGCAGCAAAACTGATTGTCCTGTCCAAAACAACATGTTCTTTGACACAATCAAAGGTCGACAGGTATCCCTTTCATGTTACCACCAACTGTGTATACAAATTTACATGTATCTGCCAAAGCAGTTACATTGGTAGAGCAGAAAGAAGAGCCTACGTCCGATTCAAAGAACATGTTCCGAAAAGTTTAAGATTAAATGGATTAAAAACATTCAGCAGTGCCATCGCAAGACATCTTGACACAGGACATGAAGTTGATATACTGAAGTCCTTCAAGGTGATTAACAAACAATCAAACTCCAACCTCTTGAAATTTGCCGAAGCAATAGCAATCAAACGTCTGAAACCAGATCTATGTATACAAAAAGAGACAGTAATAAATCTTTCTTTACCCTGGTAACAATAACCCCCCTTTTTTATTCATTTATTTCTCTATTTATTTATTGCGTCAATACTCCAACTCTTTCAAATTACATCAGATATAACTGACTGATTTTAATTCATATTTTCTTTATTACCATTATTCTATTTTCATGAGTTCTAATCACTATTTCAATGTTCTGGAACTTTCCCTCTCAAACTCTATTTATTCGAGACAAAAATTTTATGACCTCATTAACTCTATCGAAATCTTCGCTACACCATGATACATTTATTCATCTTTAATCACCATCTTATGTATAAATATGTCAGTATATGTAATAATTTTGAATTTCAAATAATTCAGGTTGTAAGCAGCTGATGAGAACCTAACGAAATACAATGAATTCATATTATGGCGCATATATATTTGGTTCCCTCTTGTAGCAATATTTATGTTTCCAAATAAATAAATAAATAAAAATAAATAGTTAATAGTATTTCATAGAATACAATGATGTTTATTTCATTGGGGTGTTAATGCTTCGGTAATAGCATTATTTTCGATTGTTTGACGTAAGGAAAAATACATAAATAGTGCGAAAATTAACTAATAATCATAATCGAATTGGAGGTAATATTATAATTTAGATGATATTAAATAACTTGAAATTAAATTAACAGGATTATTTCTCAACTAATTAAAGATTCATCATCTACGTCTGGTATCCTAGAAATCGTTCCAATTCTGGAGTCGATACTCGAACAAACTCCAGGATAAGCAGTCATATATATATTGCGCCAGAAAGCATCTCGCATTTTGACAAATTAGAAATGCCTTTCACTCAATGTTTCTGAAGAACAATGGAGAGAACTACGCTCCTTACAAAATAATAGAACGGTTGTCATCACCAACCAAAGTCTTAACAACAAAGGTTATGAACAAAACAGACTATGAAGAAAAAGCCCTAAAACATCTATCTATGGGATCATTTATAAAAGTCGATTCAGAAAATCTTCAGATGTTTAAAAATAAAGTTAGGCCAGAGGAAAGTGAACTTCTAAAAGAAATAAAGCCTTTTATTGGCGTTTCCTTATGGCTTATTTCATATCCCAAATCCAACATCACATCACGATTTTATGGAATATCGAAGATTTACAAACCTGACATTCGCTTAAGACCCATAGTAGGTTTCACTAATACCCCCATATGTGCTTTATCTAAATATCTAAGCAGTATACTGAAGCCACCTATATAATGTCTTAAAGGATTTATCTGTATTTAAAACAAAGATCACGAAATTATCTATCAACGAGAACGAAACAATGGCAAGCTATGATGTTGTATCATTATACACTAGATAAATGTCTGGACCTTATTAATGGCTTACTTGGGTATGACAATATCTAGCAGATGTCCATTAGGCATTAGTTCAGTCATGAAATCTTTCGAACTATGCCAAATTTATTTTAAACTATCAAGTTCGACTATGGTATTGATGCCTACAAACGATATTTATAGTAAGAAAGTTGAGCTCATGTTTTTATTATAGGATCCTATTGACTAGTCTATCTCCAATTATGGATCAGATTGATTAGTAAGCACATCAAATGTATAAATCTTAAAGCCAGACATAAAAAAATTAACAAATACCGGTTAATCGATCAGTTACAGTTTTGAAACTTCATTGAAAAAGTAAATTGAGACAAACTAATAATAAAAATTGGATATCCTATATTTTCGAAAGATATTTCTTTTCAGCCAATTTAAAATCACTAAATCGTTTTCAGGAACTAGAACACAGGTTAACTTTCTATCCACAAAAATATTTCGTCCCTTGAATTTTCAAACTTTCTTCGCGTCCCTCACATTCTAACACTAGTATTATGCATGCGAAAGGTACGATAAAAGAACACAAGTGTGAAGAAATTTACACTAAATTACTGAGTAAAATACTTACCATTTAATTTTACATGACAATGACGAAATTCGCACAGTTACGTACTGCAATATATCATCCATTAGACAAATGAATATAAACGTCTGAAGACAAATCTGAGGCTGAAGAAACTATAAGAATCTTAGACACCCTACAGACGCACGGCATCCGTGTCAATCTGAAGTCAACCGTCATGTTGACAAAGTTAAGATATAAACCAACAAGGGAAAGGTCAAACACATGTTCGTAAGTCAACTTGATAAAATGGTTAGCATAAATGAAGGTCATCAAAATAAACTGATCTTCAATTTGTGCAGAACTTTTGAGAGGTTTACTCTTTTTGAGGCTTGAGTTGCTTATGAGGTTATTGATGTAATTATTCCTTCATTTCCTATCATAATGTGAAATTTAGCAAATGGGAGATGTACATTTTCTTGAGGATCTAAGGTTTTAACATCTAGTAGTACCTAACTAGCATACAAGGCCTAAAAGTATGTAGTTAGTACGATTACGTATAATAACAAGAAATCAAGCCTTTTACCTGTCCACCACTTCTTCCCCGGCCATACTGTCTTCCTTCCTCGAAACCCGCATCCCAGTCTGTGCGAATTATTCGATCATCTAATCGGGTTTTGTTAATGTATCTCATGGCCATTTCCGCACCGTCTCGTGTACAATATTCCACAAAACAAAACCCACATGGAGTTTTATCAAATCTGTGTAAGCCCATGATAACGCGCTTGATTTCGCCGGCTCGGCTAAATAGTTCCCAGATTTGTTCTTCACGAGTATAGAAAGACAAATTCCCGATGTATAAAGTGGTCGTTTCTTTTAGACATTGAGATAATTCCCGTGGAGTAAACTGAAATTAAATTGTAGTGAGGGTTATAATATAGTCACTCTTTTTAGTACAACAGCACGACAGCTAAGACATGTAACCATGAGATAATAGTGAATAAATTATAAGAATATCATGCCATCGATTATTAAGGCATGAGTTAGAATTTCATTCGACCTGATCCAGTTTGGAGAGCAGTGTGATTACCTCTCATAAAATGTAATTTAAACGCAATTTTAAGAAACCTATGATTGGTGCACGAATCACATTGTTAAAATCACGGCAGCACATGACTTACCTTTTTAGCTATCAGCCTTTTATTTATTCTTCTCAGTGACTTTCACTGCCATCCTACAGCTAACCGTTGCAATGCTAACAAAATGGTTTCATCTAGTCGTGGGAATGATTAGATCCTAAATACCTCGTATTTTAGCTTTGAGTAGTGGTGCAGTTCATTGAGACACATCAACGCAGAAATTGTTGACTTGAAGGTGATATACTGACAAAACTTTTATTGCAGATCGTCTGACGTTTATGAAAATAGCTCTAAAATCTACCTACATGAATATATATATATATATATATCAAAATGGAGAGTTTGTGGTATGTATACTGAATAGTGTTTAAATTAAAACAAAATTTAAGCCGACGAACCAAGTTTAACCACGTTAAATGAACACGTTTACATGGCTTTAAGGAAATAGAGTAATTTATATGAATAACCTGGTCAACACTAGTTCTATATCCATGTAGGAACGATCTGTTAGTATTTTCCAATGAGTTCCTTGAATCTATGAGTACTTCAGTGCTATTATTTTATCCAAGACTTATTTCAGAGTATATAAATTATATTCTGAATCCGCTTATTCCTCCCTAAATGTCACACACAATATCCACAAAAACTGTTTCCACTTACGAGTGATGACCCTTATTTCGACATAATTTAACAAGAGAACGTTATTTTAAGTTCTTACGTGGGATTCGGGTAATAAACAGTTGTGTAACTAAAAAATCTGAGCGTATAGTTCTGGCATAGCAATTTTGTTCAAAATACTGCGGATTTTTGAGACGCGATACCTAAGAACTAATTGGTAACATATGATGTATTGCATCTGATCACAGCTGCGACAGTAATTTTACAACTGATAAACGTGATTTCAGCAAGATATTTTTAAAGAACAGATATTTTGTGCCTTCCAAAGATTGCAAGTACGAAAACAATACTAAATACTTTGTTACGATCGGCTGTTATGAAGAAAAATTTGGCATCTCAACACTTACATCATTCCTTCTGTCACGGTACGGTGATTTATAAAATGAAGCATCTAAAATATCGCACACTGCTTTGTCTCTTGGCATACCGTACCGCGAGATTCGATAAACGCCAACGACCTGGAAGGTTTCAAATGTCCAATAATTTTGTTATGAGTTTGGATAAACCAACTAATTTCTTTGACCCTTCTTTCTGCCGAAAAAGGACGATTGCCTCAAAAATTAAATAAACTAATTGATCAGTTGTTAACGTATGTGTGGTGTTTGAATGGACTAATGATACCTTGGTACTGGTTGAATGTTTGATTTCGAATTCTAAATACAGTACATTCGTTGTGCCTGTGTCTTCTTAATTCAATTGCGTTAATCCTGGAATTCCTAATTCATACGACAATTAGAATACTATAGTTTGCTAATTATCTACACTGTCATGAGCTTGTGTATAGATGCCACAGGTATTCGGAGTTTGACAACGCTTTAACCAGTAACATCTAATATGAAGCGTACCCAGCAAGTGAAATCAGAAGAAAGAAACTAGGAAGTTCGGGTATATATTTGATAGGCTATCAATATAGCGAGGATCGTCTGATCTAATCTGGCTAGCGATTGCAGGGGTTGTTGAGCACGGCGTTACCACTCGTGATCTGCTGCGGATGCATGACCGAGCGCCTTCAGCTAGGTGAGTCCAATAAAATGTGGTCAGCATCCAATGTCGAAAACTTACAGAGCTATCTATTTTGGGGATTTATATACCGCTACAGTATAAACTGATTGATTTCTTTGATCTTATTTTTTATTGTATCGCACCGATCCGGGTATTCGATAATGTCTGGTCACTCGATTGCATACAGTGTGAAAACACGGAAGTGTAAGAATCAGGCAGGAACCGAGATTATAGTAAGCGGTATTGGAATAAGTTAGTCGTATAGGATACTGACAACAGTGGGTAGACTCTGAGACATGCATCAGTCACATCTAATCCAAGCGGGAGACGGCAGTTCACAATTAAGTACTGTTTCTCCAAATTTTCTCCTGAAGCTATCAACTGAAGCCTCCAATATTGCGGATACCACCACGCGATTAGATCAGCAACGACGAGAGAAAGAATTGAGAAAAAATGGTCTAGGCAAATAGATAAGTGGGATCGATAATCATTACGGTACAGTGAGGAGAGTGAAACTAGTGAGCTTCACATCCTCTTGTGCAATTATCCATTGTCCCTAGCTGAATGTAATTCGTGGATTGGCACTCAATAGTTAGGTTATCCTTTGAAGTGGATATAGTTACGCCGGCTGAGAAAGAACTACAGAAAACACAGGTTTAGACTGAAGGGACGTGAAATTTTGAGGGATTGCCAAGTCTATGATGAGACATCATATGGCTGCGGTTTCGATCTCCATAGTGTCCTCAGGAAGGATAACTTATCTTCATATACTGGGCTGTTTGGTTGGAACATGTCCTACCTGTAGTTGTTCTGGGGAAACTGCTTACCCACACCTGGGTTAAAGAGTAGAATTGGGTGGAGAGCGATCTTGCTAGAAAAAAATGCTAACCGAAAAAACAAAGTGAACCTTTTAAACTCTACCCTGGAAGTTAATGAACCATTATTTAGGAGAGTTACGACAACTCGTGGTACGCCCGAGGCTCTCCAGAAATTACGACACCGATGCCACTTCTAACAACCAAGGGCAACAATTAATTTAGGTACATAGAATGTCCAGAAAACGTGATAGAGTAAGAGGACTAATCAAACAGCTGTTGAAATAAAGCGATAAAACTTGATGGAATAAGTGGAACCCATTTAACTCAAGATGAACAGAAGGGATTAGATTCGAGTGAGATATCGTTGTACTGTGAACATAAATAATAATCTGCTTCTCATACGCAAGGAGCCGCGCTAATGCTGCCCAAATAAGCTCGAAAAATGTTTATGTATAGGGATCTCACGTTTCCAGTATCTTCAAAGCATCCTTCAAAATATGGAAGGGGAGATTACACTCAATGTTATCCAGTGTTATGCTCTCACCAATGAAAACAATGAGGACAATAAAGCTCACCGTTATGAGAGGCTGCAGTCGACTGTAGAGAAGTGCCCAGGAAAAGATCTGACCATTGTGATAGGAGACCTAATCGCTCAGATCGTATTGACATCCTTGGGTATGAAGATACCATGAGACATGGACTAGGAGAAAGGGACAATAATGGTGAGACACTCGCAGGTTTATGAGCATTCAATAAAATGGTTATTGATGGCAGAAACCACATGTGTCTTGCCGAATCACAGTACAGTGAACCAGACCTACCATATCCGCATCAATATAAATTCAGAAGGTTAACGGAAGACTTGAAAACCAGGAGAGGAACTGACATAGCTTCAGATATTATGGTTGCCAAGATGAAACTGAAATTAAGGAAGCATAGGAGAACTGGAGAAACAGTATTAAAAAAATTCAATACAACCTTCCATCGAGATAGTGACAAACGCAACGAATTCAAGATAGCTCTCAAAAACGAGTTCCATGAGTCACAACATCTACGAGAAGACGAAACCTGAAATGATTTCTTCAAGACACCTGTACAACAGTGAGCTGTTTGTGAATAAACATGGCAAGAAAAAATTATTATGAAGGCCAACTAGGAAGAGATGAAATAAGCAATAACTTCGATGTTTCAAGGCGCGTCAGGCCCCAAGAAGCACCAGCGCAAAGAATAGAGCTCTATTACTGTCCTGTGTAATATTCAAGACAGCGATTAACATTAGTTGAAGAAGAGCACAGAAAGCTAAGGTACAAGGGTAGTCACAGATGTAGACAAGATAGTGGAGAAGTGCATTAAAGCTGGCAAGCTAAAATACGTATAAGATATTGTAGAATAATGGTCTAGTTTGATATTAGTACTACTATAATAAAAGACATAATTCGGAAATCGTAGATTTGTTATGATGTGATTTTTAATCTATAAGATCTTACGTGTCACCCAGCTTCACAGTCAGAGACGTTACCACTGAGCTATCCGAGCCGCAATTGATTGATCACATTGCCACATTGCAACATGATCGATAGCATTCGATCTGCACTAATAAGGACTAGACAAACATGACATTGATCACCACCCAGTGATCAATCAATTGTGAGAGTCTGATGCGGATGTAAAGATATTTATTAGCAAAGTCAAGGAAAGGATCCCTAGAGTTGAAGATTTGGAACCCACAACAACTGTCAATCAATATCAAAGTCACAATCTTTAAAACGAATGTCAAAACAGTCCCACTGTACGGAGCTGAAACTTGGAGAACGAGCACAATTATAATCAAGCAAGTATTTACAAACAATTTTGTATTCAATATACTCAATTTCTGTTGGATGAATGTCATTAGTAACAGCCTAGTGTGGGAGAGAGCAAATCAACCTTCACCTGAAGGAGAAATTCGGAAAAGACACTGCAGGTGGATAGGATATACATGAGGAAACCATCAAACTGCATTACGAAGCAAGACTTAACTTGGAATTCCGGAAGAGAATTGGCACCAGCAACTTTGAAGCCCACTTCTGTCAATGATTTTATTTTCGTTACAAGTGGTCTTGCTCAGCATGTTAAATGATAACACTCATAACTGTTGTGCTCGTGCTCTAGTAGTCACACATAAACCAAAATTCAAGTCGGAAAGAGCTCCACATATCACACCCGCAATGTCTGATTACATGTGCCATAAAAACACACGGGAAAATTTCTCTGCACATGTATTTCCCGTTGACCAATCCCCTGTCCCATTTTCAAACATTTCATTTCTTTTGTTGTTGACTGTATCTACGAATATGTTATTTCCCTTTTGATTTTTTTGCAATGGTTACTGAAAAGTTATCTACGGTTTCAAAACTATGTTTAACTCTTGGATGCTATTATGGCTTCGACAACTGTTTCACTCCTGTTCTACTCATAGGTTTTTGAGTCCTGAAGGCCTCCTTACATATTTGATTTTCTAGTTATCAGCAAAGTTTATTATTTTGAACGGTTGATTGCCGATTCGGATCCATTTCATTGATGGCAATTTTGTTTTTTGAACATACTGTCCCAGGGTTGTTGGGAATTATTTTGCTGATCGCCCGATAAGTATTGCATATTCTCTGTATTATTGGCTTACTGTTTCGTCGTTAATTTTACAAGTTTGTTGTTATTACAGGAAATCTACCTTCTAAAAATATATAAAGCTTGTTTAGTTGACTACACTTCTCCATTCAGTAGGACTCATATACATTGTTTTGTGCAGCTTTTCAAGTTGCTATTCGGAATTTGACATCTAACTGAAGGACATTACTTCATTCTTCTTAATCCAGGTTTCGATGCATTATCGGAAACTTGGGATTTCATAACACCTGAAAAACAATTCTATCAAAGTCTCACTACTGCAGTCTTCGGGGTAACACACGATGAATTATCATTAAAGTGTGAACAGTCATGAAGGTCAAGCTTTTCGTTACAAGTCTGCTCTGACAAGAATGCGTCTCCAGAATAAATGGCCTCAGATCCTCTCATAAGGAAGCTTGAAGGGGAGGCTTTATGACCACATACACAATCGTAGATTATCATCTTTCATCCAAATAAGCATTTGAGTACATGTTTTAACAGGAGAAGATACTTCTGCACTCATCAGTTCCACTCACATCATGTTATAGGGTTATTATTATCATTTCTAGCATTATGAACACTTCATCTTTTATCATCTTCGTCTATTTGTTGTTCATATACATTCATTTATTTACTTATTGATTCATATATGAGCCCGTTTATCTTGAACTTATATTTTCACCCCGATCCCCTTTATTCTTATATACTAGGTTCTTTGATGATAAATCACCAGTTATGTACCCAGTAATATGGTAACGGTTTATTCAACCTCGCTGCATTATGAGAAATGTAGAGATGACTCGAGCACAACATTTTTGTGGAGTGCTGGCATACAATCATGTTCCAGTAAAGCAGTTTCAAGTTGAAGAGGATGGTTGTGTTCCGTTAGCCCCTACTAACGTAAAACCCTCAAAATCAAATTCCATACTATCTATAGACTGTGTCAGCCAAGTTTCTGTGACTGCGATCATGTCTGACTTTGTAGAGTCAGTCTGTACACCTAGTTCCGATCGCTTATCGAATAAGCTTCGGCCATTAGTGTGACGGATTCAAAGCCTATTTAAGTGGCTTCTGCATTATTCTCTATCGAAGCCATAGAACCCAAAAATTTACAATTTTTATGTCCTTTCTGCCAGCGTCTAACCCACGTTGTAAGTCTTTTTCGGCTTCCCGTCTTTTTACGCGGTCTGCCAACGGCAAGTCCTTACGGATAAAAACTTCTGAACCCTTTAATTTATGTCCATTCTGTAAAGTTAAGTGGCGTTTATTCGAAGACTTGGATACTAATTTAAGCAATCTGGATTGATTAGGCTTCAAGTTCCTTAGACTACCTAGTCTGTACAGCTTAAGCAAGGTGACTCCGGGGATATTTTGAGGTATGAGTTGATTAAGTAGCTGTTCTATCGGCACAATGTCATGCTCAAAACGGGTTTTTGGTTCAGAGCTATGAAAAATAACCGATCTGTCACTGTGATCAGCCTTTGATTTCTCGACTACTTTGACGGGGGCAGGATTCCCTTTTATATCGTTATGTTGTTTCTTCCTTACAACCTGCACCCATTCGTCAACGTTGCTATGAGAAACAACCACAGTTGAGTCAAAGATACTCTGGGATTCCGGAGGGTTGTCGACGATTTTTGAGATCAGGTTATGTTCCCCGCTAGAAACCGGTCGAGCTTTGCGATTGTGGCTTCCAGGCGTTTCCTGCTGGATACCATTTAGAAGACAGGGGACAGAAGAGACCCTTTTTCTTGAGTTTTTGGTTAAGACATACCTCTTTGAAGACTGTTTTTCCTCCTTTGGCCGGTGTGAGTCACCTGCTTTCGAACTCACTTGAGTTTGCTTCACACCAATTTGCGTGTCCATAGAGCGAGTACTGTTCGATGTGTCCCGACCACGCTTGCCAAAATACTTTTTCGCAGCATTTACCAATGAGATGGCCTCGGCCAACAAGCTGTTTGCATCCGAACAGCACTGGTGACAAAGCCATACGCGACCGTTTTTACTGAACCTCTTGAAAGCCACATGCGTTAAATTCGTGCAAACTTCGTGGTACCAGCCTTTGCATTCATTGCACTGAGCGAAAGCTCTTCTTATTCAATCCATAACCATCTGAACAATTTCACTTATCTTGTACGATGACATTGAAGGTCTGAGTTATTTTTGAGCCGGATTTAAGTCTTTGCGGTACGCTGGGCGTGTTTGCCACAGTTTCGGAATGGCTAGCATCGCGGGTAAACGTATTCAAAAAGAGTTAGCTGAGCTGATGAAATCAGATGAAGTTAGTTGTTCCTATTGAATTGATGTTGTGGTCTGTGTATTTTGAAAATTCCTACCTACTTGTTTCCTTGATTCAAAGTTTGAATATAATGTTGGTCTGCTAATCACTCACTTGTCTTTATCTTTCGTTTAAAAAGATGGGAATTTACATCAATGAAAAAGAATATTGGTGTGCATGCCTTGGACTCAAAACCGCAATCACTGGTGTCATTCGAGTACGGGAACAAGAGATCAAGCCTGGAGGTCTTGTTCAGTATCTTCATCTAAATTATTCCCCAGATCCGTACTTGACTTTCTCAGAGTATCTTTAAACAACTTGGGGTTACAGAAGGGCTCGCATGTTTTGGTTTGGTACCACTTAAGCCACCGTCATATTTCCCCTACTTCAATTTATGAATATTATCCAAGCGTACAAAGTCCCGAAATGGGAATGTTTTTACTAATGACAAAACCTCATGTAGATGTGTTAGATAACAATATAGGTGTGAAAATCACCGCATTTCCTACACAGCTTATCATTAGAGGCCTACATATGATATAGTCTTTTTTAAATAAAAACAGGCTCTCTGTTGACCTTCAAATAATCTCTTCCTATGGATGCTTATACATTTATCTTTCTAACCTAAATAGGTTCAAACTTGTCTTACCTAAGCTGTAGTAAAGATAACCAGTTCTCAAAACCGACAATTTTATAATTTACTGGTAATGTTAACATGGTTTCAGTTGACTCAAACGTGTATTACATATGATCAATGATATCGACACCCTCTGACTTCACTTCGAACCAGTGTTCATAGGTACACTTAGGATGCATTGTCATTCGACTGTTGTGAGTTATATATTTCCATGTGTTCTATTAATAAATTGTATTCACTTAGGTGGATGGTTTAACTGCAGTTTCGACTCCTGAACATTTTAAATACTACATAAAGTAGTTTGGGCTGACGTTCTCACAACGTTAATAAAAGCACTTTAATTAAACTGTTTAGCTCAAAAAAAAACACAGCACAAATAAATGTATTCACATGATTTGCAAATCTTTATTATTCGATGTACATTGTGGAGCAAAACAGTAAAAACCATGTATTCCCTAATAAGGTTGGTTAGACAATTATACAATTGCAGCTCTTTAGTGGTTTCCTTCAGGGGTACGACAATAGGCTAGTGGTTATCTCTTGTTCAGAGCAGAAGTATAAAAAGTGAAGAAACTTCAAAATGTATTGAAATAGACTCAAGTTATTATCAGTGTAATTCAGCTCGTTTCTTTTAATGTCGCTGCTCTACTCTTGACTCGACGAACCGATTTTAAATTTCACGAATCCTAAGTCTTCAACTTCAAAGCCCCTCTCCACCGACTTCAATTTTGTCAGCGGTATGTTAATTATGTCTTAACATTGTATAAAACCGATCTACATAAATATTTACCTAGTTACTGAATCCAATTCTGTGAAACACAATATTGGGACTTTTTTCTCTTTGCTATTTTCAAATTTTAGGCAGCACAGAATCAGTTGGAAATAAAACCTTGTAATGATGACATGATGCATTTATGTGGTCTTATCAAAGGCCCACCGGATACTCCTTATACTGGTGCTGAATTCAATTTAGACATTATAATCCCTGAGAATTACCCATTTGTTCCCCCAAAGGTTAAATTTATCACCAAAATTTGGCATCCTAATATTAGTAGTGCCACTGGTGTAATTTGCCTTGATGTACTAAAGGATCAGTGGTAGGTATCTTTTCACTTATATTTTCGGATGTGTTTCTTGTCTAGAACCTTATACATTTTAAAGGCAAAAAAATTAACCAGAGAATATGTTTATAAAGTATAGCATTCGGATTGATGGTTCAAAGGCAGCACAGTTCCTAATATTATGATACAAAATTGTCCCCCCATTTGCCAGTTATCACTATCAGTAAATTGTATTTAATTTATGTATTTGGCTAAGAGCCACATTGAGTATAAGGGCAAGTAATAACATCCAATTGTCCAAACCGAAGTAGGTGAAGCGCAGTCTGAACCTCGAACTTCCTGGCTGTGAAAGTCAAACGCGTATATAAAAGCCATGATTTGTGAAAATCGTGCTTCAAGTGATCTCAGAAATTGAAATTGAAATAATTCTAAGGTTTCGTCCAGTAATCTTATCGGATCTTTTTCGGCGTAATGATCGAAATAGATACTATCAAAGAATACATAACTCTTAACTGTATGATCTACACTAAAAGGTTATTTAATCATTTTAGGATGTTGACTTTAGTAAGTAGGATCATATAAGTCCTTAAGATGTGAATGGTGTGAAACGCTTATATTGTGAAGGATAGTAAATTTGCGAATGTGTGTACCTTGATGTTTTTAATAGCTAATATCTAGTGAATAAATCCAGTCGATCTACCAATCGCTCACTTCGTTAAGAATAGTAGTACGGATTGAAAAGGGTTTTAAAATGTTAAAGTGTATATAAAGTGGGATGTTGAAACATTCCGATTGGTTTCTGTTAAAGTAAAACTAAATGTGCTATAAACGGGATGAACTGAGGTAAGGTCTAATTACTTGTTGATAAACATTTGACAATGGATGACTAACTGAATCCCATCTTTTCTGTCCAGGGTTTTGTGACTAACCCATATATACAGGGCTTCTTATGTCACCCTTTTTGCACGCCAAACACCTTTTGAAGTATCTTCAGAGTTGATCTTGTATTCTGTTTATAACGAATGTGACACGATATTTGATCGATTCTCAAGTTTTTTTGAGGTTAATCGAGGATTCAGATGGATGTTTCAAACACTGCTTGTGTTTCTTTCAACCCTACATTCAGCTGTCTAGATGTTTCTCTAATATAAGCTGAAACGCATCCATGACATTCGATCCCATGGAAAACGCTTTTTTGCTCTTTTGATAACCTCTCCTTGTCTTTAACTATGCTGATCTTATGGTACCACCGGTATGAAAATAAACTCTTATTATATTCATTTAAAATCGTTCCTTCAGTGTTTCTGTACGGTGTGAGATGACGACGATGTTATTCCATTCTCTTGGTATACATTTTATTTTATGTTTTTCTCCCATTTTTAACAATCTTCTTTAAAAAAATTAGGGCAACTATTTTCCCTAACTCTAGACAATTTAGTGAAACTATAATTTATGGACGATCTTTGAGTGATGCTAAACTGACTTTGAGAGTGTCCACCTACTATTAACTAGGACTAAATGACGGTTATAAAGTAGTGTAAGGATTTAGAAATATGATTTACAGTTGATGGTTAGAGTTAGGAACTAAACTTAGAGTTTTCATCACGAATTGACATCAGCTAAAATGTCAAGATGCTATTTAGCCAGTTAGATGAACGAATTTCGCGCCAAAATCCGAACTCTGTTATCTTATACCTGTTTGTTTCGTCCGTAAATCATAGTCTCGCCGCAAAATTCATGAATAAACACTTACTTACTTATTAGTAGTACAGTCCAAAATGACTTAAAAATCAACATGACTTCTGATGCTTATAGGATACAATTTTACAAAAAACAAGTGATAGTAAATATTTCAAGCATTATTTATTTCATAAATTTGCAAACATTTTACAGTTGGGTGATGTCTAGAAAAGAAGTTGATTCTATCGAATGGGAACATTGAAAAGAATGCTTGTTTATGAAAATGAATTAATATAGAGGGGTAAAAAACTCTTGGTTGAAGATATTAAGTCATATGGCTCGGAATCAGTGGGATGATGTTTTAAACCAAACTAGTTTTTATACACTACCTGACCAAATAACTTGTCTTCATCGCATTTCAACTGCTTTTACAATAGTGTATTCCTGAAATTAACACATTCTGAGAAATTACAAGTCAGAACATGTTTATTCTAAGAAATCAATTGGTGAAAAATTTAGTTAACACGAGTTGTAATATCATCACGGAGAAAAAAGGCTAACAGAATGAATTAAAATTTGAAAATGAATTTAAATTATCGGCGAGATTACATCCGTACTTTTCCTGACTGAATCGTTCAAATGCCAACGTCCGCCATTTATTTGCACAAATATAAAGGACGAACTTGATAATCATTTCTTATTGCTATTTACCCAAGGCCAAGCTTTCAGCTTATTAAAGCGAAATTGACCGACAGAGTGAATTTCCTCTAGTTGCATTCGACATTTAGTTATAGTTGGTTTTCTGAATATTTTGCATATAACCATGTTATTTTTTCTTAAAAAACTTGTTCTATTGGGCAGCTGTATTGTCATCCGATATTAGTCTATTTGGTGTGTCACATCAATAACTAGGTCTCGTGAGGTATTTATTTATTTGAAGGCATAAATATTGGCAAAAGGGGCACAGAATATATACGCGCCACACAAGTCACTCGATTCGTGTATGGGCTATGATACTGACCGGGTACCCAAACCGAAGCAGGCGGTTTTCTTAGGGAGCCACTCCTCGAGCCTCTAACCTAGAGGTCTAGTCCACAAGGCAGTGGAGCAACGTCAGGAGATGCAATCCCCTGGTAGCCAGTGGCCAATAATTGGTTCATAAGCCATTTGTTTCTTCAGGATACTGGAGCCCATGTGCACCATTGGTTTGGAATCAGGGTTTTCTAACTGCCCTAGGTGGATCTTCCATATCCACCAACCTGGTTAAAGCGCCGGACATTCGTTTTTCGTCCTCTCAAACAATAATGCCGCAAGGTAGTGATCAGGACTTGACTGTCAGTGGTTGTATGTACGTAGCTATATGAAAGCATTTGGAGAGGGAGAGCTGACTCCGCACTCTCATCCGTACCAGGGCATTTGGAGGCGGTCTCGTGAGAAACCATCACACAGTCATTTCATATCATTACATATCGACCATCGATTAGCATTGTATTCATTCCTTTAACACTTCAAAAACCCGCTCATAATTTCCTACTCCATAATAAAGAGTTATTAATGCTTTCTTGCGTAACCGTTGATTACCTTATGAGGGTCTTTTCAAGTTACATTTTTACAAAAAGCTTTTCTTCATGTTGTAGACATTCATTTATTTTTCATTCTCTTCACAGGGCTGCTGCTATGTCATTACGTACTATACTTTTATCTATTCAAGCATTATTAGCTTCTCCAGAACCAGATGATCCACAAGATGCAGTTGTTGCTAATCAATATAAAAGTAGCATAGACGCCTTTAATCGAACTGCACGTCATTGGGCAGGCATTTATGCTAATGGACCTGGATGTGATCCTCATTGTGTTGACTTAGTAGATAAACTTGTTCAAATGGGTTTTGATGAGGTAAAATAATTCTTTGGACTGTGTGTTTGCGTTATTAAGAGAATTGAATGATGAGTGCATAGTGTAAAATCTTTGCTGTTCTCTATCTGTCCCATTCATATAACACCGAACATCTGACAATATGTTTGCATATGTCGTAAACACTTGGTTTAATTGAATGTCATGTAACTTTATTATTATGTAGGAACAAGAAGCGATACTTAGTGTAAATTTAGTGATTTCTAATTAATTTACCCCACGGCATCTCATAGAAGTAAGTTCGTTTGTTGTAACCAAAAAGAATAATAATATGTAATGACACAGTCACTTTCATACTATCATGAAACTTGTCTTATAGAAGAAAAATCGTAGAAGCATGCGTTTACTATCAGTCTTTGTGATAATCCGTTAAGAAATAATCATGGTTTTTATGTCTTACTAGCTATGTGATTGCTGATAGTGTACCGGGGACTGGCGTGGTAAATAAAATCTATTTATGTACATTTAAACCTGTAGCCTAATCTAATCTGACTGACCTTTAACACTGTTGGGATGCTAGTGTAGACGTTAAAGCTTGTATGTACAACACATTGATGAGAACACTTCTCTATTATACTTACGAAAGCTGTTGTCTCCAAGTTGAAAACGTTCATCGATTTTATGTTTTCAGTCATTAAAAGGCTGGGAAATAACATTATTTATATTATTTGTTTAAACACACAAACATAGGTACAAGAAGGCACCAAATAGATATGCGCCACATAAATCATTCGATTTGTGTGAGGACTGGGATACTGACCGGGTGCCAGACCGAAACACATGGTCTTCTTAAGGGGTCACAACCCTAATTTTTGACCTAAAGCTGTGATCCACAAGGCAGTGAAGCAACGTCAAGAGATGCGACCCCATGGTAGCCGGTGACCAACGATTGGTTCATAAGTTATTTTTTCCCTTCAGGATGCTGAAGCTCATATACACCATTGGTTTGGAATCAAGGTTTCCCAAATCACCTAGGTGGATCCTCCATATCCACCAACCTGTGAAATAGCATGTAATTAATGTTGTGATCTGGCAATGTATATTTATTTGTATCGAATAGTCTCTGTTCATTATTTATGAAAATTGACTCTAGGAGTATTTCACTGTATTTTAAGAACATCCATCGATATCTCACTGTAATTTGTATTTGTGTGAGTGTATGTGTATGTGTTAGGTCTTCATCATTCTCTCTATTTCTATCATCATAGCATGAAGCTTGTCGTGCATTGTCCATGAAGAATTGGGATTTAGCAATGGCAACAGAACATTTGATAAAATGATTTTTTTTCTTGAACACATAAAAATGTATCGATAATTTTATTAGTTATATTTATAGATTTATTATGTAACTAACGGTTTGTTGAATAGTTAAGCGTATCACTTTAATGTCTACTTCCTTCTTCCTATGTATCCTTCCTTATTCTCTTACTCTTTTGTCAATTTCTATGCAAATTCTCAATGAATTTTCTATACTCACGTATGTATGCCTCATCTTTTTTTATAAAAGAAAAAGCTTATCAAAATGAATTGAATTCCTTTATTTCTGCATTACTGCTTGCCTGCCTGCCTTTTATTCATTCATTCGATTTCCAATGTTTCAGTAACAAAAAAGTGTTCTTTTTATGTGTGTGTGTGTGTGTTTCCCAACGTTTTTTGGCGGGTAATTTGTTTTTTAAAATCTTCTTATCATCATTATCACCATTATTACTACTGCTTTGTGTACATTTTGTACATTTTACTGTTTATACATATGAAATGGTTTATTGACAACAACAACGCCACCACTACCACCACCAACAGCAACATTATCATTTCAATAGTACCATTGTTCATTCCAATATACTTGTTCTTATCAATGATGATATCATACATCCGCAGGATTTAAGACAGTTCATTGAGATTTATAATTAAGTTCTTGCCTACAATATTATTACATAATGTAACCAATATAAATGTAATATCTATTACATAACATATGTAATCATCTCTTATATATACATAGATACATGTATGTTGTATAAATGATTTATTATTTTATAAGAATGAATAAAAGTAATAAAATTCTTGTATTTACTTTTTCAAATGTTAAATCCTTTAATCAGTAGTATGTTATTGTTATTATCGATCTATTATTGTTCCTTTCTCTTTTATGTACACTGTAGTTGTATTCAAATAATGAACACATTTTGTTTATTTATATACTTGGTAACTAGTTTCTATTCTTGACAATACAAACATTCAATATGTGAACTTATTGTCAATGGATGTGTCTTAAATTATAAATAAAGAAAAAAAACTTTTGTGAAAAAACTTTCTTATTGATTATTATATGTTTGTTTATTATTAAAACTAGTTAATCAAGAAGGCACCAAATAGATATGCGCCACATAAATCATTCGATTTGTGTGAGGTTTAGGATATTGACCGGGTGCCAGTTGTGTCGCTCAATTTCGTGGACTAGTTGAAGTTAGACATTAAAACCGTTGGATACCGGTTCAGTGGTCTAGTTGGTTAAGCGCCTGGCGCAAGACTGATAGGTCCTGGGTTGGAATCTCGCGAGGCGGGATCGTGGAAGCGCACTGTTGAGGAGTTCTACAATAGGGCAAAACGGTCGTTCAATGCTTCCAGGTTTTCCATGGTGATCTAGCTTCAATTGACTCATGATCTCAACCATTGAAATTAATCAATCTTTATCTTTACTGACTTTCATTCTTGAAGAAATATACTATTCAATTGGTGGTGGATGTATATGAACTATGTAGATATGATGTATATATAAAAGCTTTATAACATTGTAATTCTATCTTATTGATGAATATTTAAGTTTTAATAGGAAAATCTTTTCAGTTAGTCAGTAACAATGTAGAACTTCGTACGTACGTACATCAGTTCAATTTGCCATACCACATTAGCACAGAGATGTAATTGTCAATTCAAATCCCTTAGTGGTCGAGGTAGTAAAAGTATAAACAGAAGTCGGAAAGATTTTATTCAAGGAGTATAATCCATTGAAATAAATTTGAAAAGAGAGAAAACAAAGGGACATGAAAAATTCAGAAGATTAGAATTTAGGAGAACACAAAGAGTGGATGCACCTGCGCTATTGCAAACGATTTTGAGCCATGTCATTCAACGTGTTTAACCATCGGTTGCTATCATCTCGCGGTTCTTAACCAAGTAGTCTACATCTACCAACATGGCACAGTCCACTCGTTGGTGACTTCATGGATTTGTGTCATGTTTTGGTCTGGCCGCTTCTAGCTTTCTTCCAACCTACTCTTACACCATAAAACATTGCACATCGGGGCAGTCGGTGGTTGGGCATACGTAACACGTCCCAGCCATCTCAACTGAGGTAGTTTCACTACTTCATTATTTGATTTGCCATCTTTTAAACTGTTCAATATTTTCATTTGTCTAGAAATCAGATGAAATTGTATCAGGCAGTAAATCAATCTTAATTGGTCCCCAAAATGCCCTGGTAAGGCCGAGGGTGGGGAGAGTCAGCTCCCCCTGTCGAAATGCTCTCACATGTCCACGTGCATGAAGCTACGGGCAGGGAAGTTCTACTCACTGCCTCCTCGTGGAGGAAGTGTTCTTTTTTCAAAATTGAGAGAATGAAAGTCGAATGTCCTGTGCTTTAACCGGGTTGATGGATATGGAGGATCCACGTAAGTGATTTGGAAAACCCTTATTCCAAACCAATGGTGTACATGCGTTTCAGGATCCTGAAGGGAAAAAATAACTTATGAACCAATCGTTGGTCACCGGCTACCATGGGATCGCATCTCTTGACGTTGCTCCACTGCCTTGTGGACCACGTCTTCAGGTCAAAAACGCGGGTTGTGACCCCCTAAGAAGACCATGTGTTTCGGTCTGGCACCCGGTCAGTATCTCAGTCCTCATACAAGTCGAATGATTTATGTACTGCATATATATTTGGGCTTCCATATACCAATGTGTGTTTGTATAAATAAATAAAATAGCATACATGTTCATCTCTCCAGGCCACCACAATGCATTTGTGTTAATGTTCTTTGCGGCAGTCAATATTTTATTTCTTCAAGGTACAAGGTCATTTTCGTGGTCACGCAAAACTATTTCAACCAACTTGTTAGTTTGTAAACAATACTAATTTTGTTCACTTGGTATTGTTTACTTGAATCTTCCCATTGATATTTAGAACTGCAATTACTCAGTCTCTTGTTGGCAATATATGCATCCTGTGCGGACTGTCTCGATAAGTCACAAGCTTTCTAAGCAAAGATGGTTAATGGCTAGCAGTGGAATCCAGTTTGGCGTGCGTTTCGTCCTGTTTGGGACTCGCTACCTGGATGCAACTGCATCCCAGAGTGGATGTTTACTCTGGGACTCGAAATTTATACTTGAACAGAACAAGAACATCAAGGTTTGGAGGATAAAACCAACTCAGCTTTCTATTTCACGGTTTTCATCAGCTGCATACAGCTTAAAATTACATTTAGCAATATAAATATAACCGAATATCTAAATGAATTTAGTTTGTGAAGTTTAGATAAATGTTCAAAAGTAGCCAAAATCATATTAAAAGGAATAGGACACAAAGTGTATGGATATACGTATTTAAGATCCATGTATTGGAAAGTAGTATTTTGGAGTAGAATATATGTCATAGTTACTATTAATCGTAGTCGAGATAAAAGAGGTTAAGTGAGAGTGATGAAAATTGGCGATTGATTACGCAATCATTTGACAAATATATGTGAACAATCGGATTATGTAAGAGATAAATATGAAGAGATAAGGTGATAGATTGAAAAATGAGTGAGTTTATTTCGTCCTACTAGGGTTCTTGTTCTGTTCAAATTTAACAAGGAATGTGGTTGCCTGAAATTTCACATTTATTTCGAAGTTATTCATTTTTCATCATACATAATTTTACATCAGTTGGTAGGGTCTATAGTATCGAAAAGGAAGCCTGATATAAGCCCTATCACTGATCATTATACTCTATCAATGGAAAGGGCGCCATTATTATTCATCGGTATTATGTTTCTCTCTTCCTAGCCTCATGACCCAGCTAATAGGACGTTGTTTACACAATTATTCAGTTCAATAATGAATTAGTCCCGATCGTAATTGAGAGAGAGATAATGAGCATGCATGACATCCTATTCCTATTACTTGTCACTTCGATTGAACCTTCTAGTGTATGGTGATCCAGTAAGCTGTCACTGATTCAATTACATTTCTTCTTTTGGTCAAACATTTTATGGCATCGCTTAGATTGTAGGACTGACATGTGAAAATATATTGTGAATTATTTGTATTAACTTCCGCCCATCTCTATGTGAGCCAATTAAACTAGGTCATTCATGAACTACATTCTCATTCAGGTACCGATTATTTGCCACCTTAGTAGAGTAATGAGAATTCAATCAATTAATTATGCTCAAATTCTAGCACTTTTAGAACACGAAAACATGAAAAGTTATGTTTCCGGCAGTTTTCATACGGGGTATTTACTCATAGTGCTTAGTTTTGTTAAATGAATGTAAACAAGAAATACATTATTATTGCCCGACCGTTGCTGTTACATTGACGTGATGGTTGTGCTTGCCTCACCTTAACCCATGGATATCTGTCTTCGGCGGTAAGGTCTCAACAAGTACGGAGCTAACACGAAAATTACTCACAAAGAGGTCGTTTGTGACCGACCTCAAGCAGTTGTCCATTGGGCACTGCGGTCACACTCTCAGGTCACTAAGACCACCCCTAACCCAATTTTCTTTTCAAGTACCCCCCGAAGAACTCCACGGTGTGGGCAACCGGGAAGTGATAACCGCCCTCATACCTCTAAAAGCACTTAAGATCTCTGACTGACATTATTATTGATATTCTTTTGTTTTTAATAAATCTATTTGGGCAATTAATGATGAGCGGGAAACTAATTGGAAGGCAGATAGTATAACATCATTCTTTCGTCTATTCACACTGGAGACGGAATATTCATTGTTATGTGATAAATACTCACCGTACCTGGAACCTATCACGTTAGAAATGTATAAGTTCTCAGTTATTAAGCTTGGAAATTCTGTGTCTCTTTGCTCATAATGAGTGAGTAACTCAAAATTCAGCAACGTTATTCTCTTTGAAATTTCGCATACTTTCAATGCAGTTGTCATCTGAACTGACGCTAGTTGGATCCCCCATCGCTAATTACGCTTCGCATCGAATGATTGTCTTATTCTTACTTGAAATGCATTCAAAGCACACCGAGTAGTAAATAATGTCATGCTTG